ATATATATTATATATATTATATATATTATATATATTATATATTATATATATTATATATATTATATATATTATATATTATATATATTATATATATTATATATATATATATGCAAATATGATCATGTTAAATCATCCGTCCAAGTAGCTTATTTGATGATTTTCACAATGATTCAACATGCTTCGTGACACTTCGGGGGCACGTTTTTTGACCCATGGAATCGCCATCTCTAAGGCTTCAACCCACCGTCATCAGGTCAGCAGAGTAAGCGCAGCGATTCAAGACCTCCAGACTTGCCTTGGGGAGACCCTAAGGGTCATCAGAGCTCCAGAATCAATGCGTTAAAAATACGGACTAAACCCTGGCAGCTCCCGTAGTACACCTTGTCTTAAATCTATAATCTATATCTAATTCTATGTATATATATATATAAGTTTTCTATGAATTGAAAAATCATGATCCTCCAAATATTGGATCCTATTGGCCTTTCCCTTGGAAATTCAGGTGCCAAATCCTCAGGCATGCGCTGGTTTCCTCTCAACTGCTCGAAGATAATTCTCGTGTACCAACCTGCAAGCTGTGGCACCCAAGATGAATCTACTGTGGTAAAGTGGTAAACTCAATGCCATAAACCTATCATTTAGGGATGGTTTCTACAACCATATATATATATATTATATTATTAATTATACGTATATAATCGTATATATACACAACATGACACAACCCGTATATAATATTATTGGCTGCCACATTACTGCACTTACCCTCCTGTAAATTAACACAGACCCTGCCAAAATGGGGGGGATTGGAATATGAGTTTCGACTTAAAATTGGCGATGCTCATCGATTGTCAGGGTCTATGTTAATTGGGAAGAGGGCAAACTCTGGCGTTCGAACATGGCTGGGAAATCCCAACTAAATGGACATTTAAATGGAACATCAATGAACATATATGAAAATAATCTATCCAGAATCTGGAGACAAAATGAAATAAATAGAATGAATTATTCGTTGCCGTGTAGGGTACCTCTCTATTTCAAAGATGCGCTTGGAAACAAAGTTCAGAGGGGATCGAAGTTATCAAAGATATTCAAAGATTCGAGAGTCTAGTTCGCAAATAATTACACACAAAATGCAGCATGCACTGCATCAAAAAAAATATGAAATCGATTGAAATCGATGATTCTGGGGATTTTTCGGATCATTAAGGACCCCTGAGCATCCAGCAGTCCGACCATGGAGTAGTCCACAAAAAACCTTCTGCCAACTCATCCATTTCTGTTGTCGCAGGCTGAAGATCCTACTGATTAAACATTGAACTGTTTTCCTGAGCCTGTTGGAGTTGGAACTTAGGAATACCCAAGAAACGTGTGTGTGTGTCTCTGTGTGAGTGCTTGCGTGCTTCGGAATTCGTAAGTTTCATGCACAAATAGTTTGATTTCATAGAATGACCTGATCATCTGATCCTTTTCGAAGTCTCGTCCTTGCGTATCGAGGTTTCTCAGCTCTAAGCATGTTTTGCCGATCTTCGAAGGTGTGGCGCAGGGCCTCCCAAGCAAATTCAAAGAATGCCACACGATGCCACACGTGTTTTATATTACAAGTGTCAGAACATGTTAGAACATGTCAGAACTATAAAACTCACGTGAATAAAGTCCTGGTACATCATCAAATTAGAAAAAATGATATGGTTCTCAAAAACCAGTTTTTTTTCAAAACAGATTGGAAAAAACAATCTATATAGAGGGTTAACAGTGTCCTAAAGCGAGTCTGCTTCTGTCAGAACATCGTCCGTGTGCAAAAGACTTTAGCTTGACATCGACCAAGTTTCATCCACGACTCAGCCTCTGAGGCATTCAGCAACTTACGGCACCTTAACCAGTCCCGTGAATTTCGTTCCCATCCTTTCTCATCTTCAAATATGGAGGGAAATTTCGGACTTGTTCATTGGATGATGCTGGATGTCAAAGGTGCAGCTGTTCCCCCTGGGATTTTTTTTCAGATTCCCAGGGGATGTTTTTCAGACCTTCTGCCCTATGGCAGAAAACACCACCAACTTGCAGGAGGCTGCGCAAAACTTTTCGCGCAGGAACATGCTCTCGTCTCAAACCATTCTGGAAAAATCACCAAAAATGCATGCGCCAGATTAAAGGTTCATGTGGGGTTTTATTATGGTTCATTTTCGCTGCGATTGGTGTTTGTTTGTTTAGTAGGTATAGTTTCTGGTGTTAATTTCGGGCTAGTTTGGGGTTTATTTGGGATTGGTTTAGGGTTTGTTTAGGGTTGGTTGAAAGCTTGCTTAGGGTTGGCTTCGGGTTGATTCAGGGCTTGTTTCTTGGGATAGGTTTGAAGTTTATTTGGGGTTCGTTTGGGGTTTATTTGCTGTAAGCTTATGGTCTTATGGTTTGTTTGAGAAACTTATTTATGTAAAGTTGTTTGTGTGCTTCATGATGGTTGGTGTGAAATTTATTCAAGGCTGCCTACCTGCCTCCCTGCCTCCCTGCCTCCCTGCCTCCCTGCCTCCCTGCCTCCTTGCCTCCCTGCCTCCCTGCCTCCCTGCTTGCTCCCTGCTTGCTTGCTTGCTTTCATGCGTGCGTGCTTGCCAGCCAGGTCCTCCCTTGGTTGCTTGGTTGCTTGCTGGCTGGCTTGCTTTGCTGGCTGGCTGGCTTGCTTGCTTGCCTGCTTGCTGGCTTCCTGCCGCAGTACCTTTGAGGATAGGTTTCTGAAAAAAAAGGGGGGAATCTAAAAAAAAAAACGGGAAAAGTCCGTAGCCAGATATCCTGAGGGTCTCACGCTTCAAATGGAGTCAGCATGACTTCTTGATCTTTGCCTGGCAAAATGGAATCTGTTTTTCGTCTGACTCCGGGATGAGCAATGCATAAGAATCACGATCACATGCCTCCAAATTTATGGCCTTTTGTCATCATCTGCATCTGGTTCAAGACCTGCATTGACTGATATTGAATGTGTGACAAATTTCGTGAGAAGATGTGAGAAGCGCCAATACAAAACTGACCCCAGCAAGCTAGAATGTGTTATTCATGAGTCACTGGGACTCAGGAACATCTTGGATCCTTATGATCCGGCTGCCAGGGTCAAGAAAAAAGCCCTTTGCATTCTGTTCCTGTTCCTGCTACCGTCCTTTTGAATCTGCTTGATACACATTCCTGATAATCTTGATAGGAATCGAAAATCACCAATTCATACCAATTCAAAATCTGTAGTGTCCTCCGACATGATCAAAATCTGAGCATGCCTTCAAGTCCTTCCGGACCCACATCCTGATCAAACTGAAGATTACATATTTTTCTTGATATTTTTGGGGGTTCTGGGTTCTTAAGCTCCTGGCATAGGTATTGATATGTATTGATGAACCCTGCATGACCATGCCTAGCTCATTGGCCCATGATCCATGGGGCTGTTTTCCAAGGCGATGCTGACAAAGTACAAATCTGCGGAAACCAATTTCCCAGTGGCATGTTCTCATCGCAATGGAAATTAAATGCAATCGAAAAATATCAAATATTTCAAATATATCAAAATATACAAATTGTCCCAAAAAATCGGTGACAGTGCAGCCACCAAACCACAAGCATCACCTGCGTCATCAGAAGAAGTCGTCACAGCATCGGATAGAATCTGCTGCCGCCAGCGTCAGCTAAACTATGGACCACAGAGCTGTTACCACCGGCATTTGGATCGCCCCATGTCATGACTGATCCATCAGCCAAGATCGCAGCAGATGCATTTGATGAGGCCTGAAACTGTTTCACACTTCGAAACCTATCCCCCACTGAAGAGCTGTCACCACCAGCACGGGGATAGCCCCAAGTCGCCACCGATCCATCAGCCAGGATTGCAGCGAAGGAGCCTTTTGTCGAATGAATCTGCTGCACACTGCTGAGCCGCTCTTGAACAGCGGAGCTGTCACCACCAAGGAGTGGGTCGGGGGTCGCCCCATGTCACGACTGATCTGTCTGCGAGGATGGCAGCAAATGCTGCACTTGTCGCCTGAAGCTGCTGCACACTCCTGAGACGATGTTGAACTGGTAAAACGTCACAAGTACTTGGAATGCCCCATATTACAGCTGACCCATCAATTAAGATCGTAGCAAATGCTGAACTTGTAGCCTGAACATGTTGCACGCTCTTGAGCTGCTTTTGCACTGCAGAGCTGTCACCTCCCAAATATGGATCGCCCCATGTCACGACTGATCCATCACTCAAGATTGCAGCAAACGCATCTGTTGTGGCATGAACTTGCTGTACACCCCTGAGCTGATGTCGGACAGAAGAGCTGTCTCCGCCAGACTCTGGATTGCCCCATGTCATGACTGATCCATCAGCCAAGACCGCAGCAAATGCATAGTTCGTAGACTGGACATGTTGCACGTTCTTGAGCTGCTGTCGGACTGCAGAGCTGTCCCCGCCAACACCAGGATTGCCCCATGTAGTGACTGATCCATCAGCCAAGATCGCAGCGAATGCAGCACTTGTGGCCCCAACCTGCTGCACACCCCTGAACTGCTCTTGCACTGCAGCACTGTGACCACCAAAATGTCGATTGCCCCAGGTTAGGAGCCTGTCACCGCCACAACACCACAAGGCAAACGCCTGCTCCGTTGCTGCAGTGTTCAATAACTTCTCAGGATCATCGAGAACACGGCCTGCCGCGACCAATCTGAGCAAGCCTTGTCAGAAAGCCTTCTGGGCTAAAGCCCTTAAGTCCCCTACTTTGGAGGACTCCTCGAGTGTGAGGCGTTTTCTTTTGCCAGGCCATGTTTACTCGAATCATATCTCAGCGATTCTCAGCGGCAAAATGTAGAGCAAAATGGTATTTTATTTGTTGCATCTTGAGCCAATATTCAAACCCAATATCATCAATGACTACACTTTGGCATATCACTGTTGACCAACAATATGTTGTAATTCATGCTGATATGTCTGTTTCAAAACATTGCAAAACTCCAAAGAAAACTCCGCTAAGATCCTGAATTCTTCCAGGACTTTCATGGACTTTCCACATCTTGGTTGGGTCCGCTGCCCTCCATGATCTCCATATGTTTTGTTTCACTGGGCTGCTGGGAAATCTTTAGGGCTCCACTTGGGCCACAGACCACCCGCACATCGCTGCCACAGGATTCCGCCAAAGCCTGGCGTATCGGTGCACGAAATGGAAATTGATCCCCAACCGCTAACAACAATTGGAAAATCATGGAAAGTATATGGGAAAGTATATGGGAAAGTATGGGAAAATGAGGTTTGGAACCGCGAGATTTTGAGGCAATTGGTGCGTCCTGTTTTCAGACAGATTCATGTGGCTATGGGTCGGACCGACAGAAAAGGAAGTGAATTAACTTGAAGAAACCAGATTCACCAAAAAAAGCTGGGATGGATTGATTGAATTGTCATACATCTGACAACTAAATTGAGGTACCGAAAAAAGGTAGGGTTCCCCTGGGTTTGAAAGTTTGACCGACAGGCATTGAGGTGAAAGGAGGTGTACCATGCCAAGCAGCCTCCAAGGAAGCCATGTCGATGTTTAAACCTTGTCGCCTGCAACGAATGCCGGAGCAGCTCAGGGGTGCCCATGATTCATCGCTGATGTCATCGCTGATGTCATTGTGATGTGCCTTGCTCCATCTTGCTCCTAACAAAATAGGTGTCAAACTTCCAAAATGTATCCCAAAATTTGGATGGTGGTACAAAATCTACCAAAAAAAACTCCTGTATCATAATTTGAATCATAATATAATAATTAATTGTCCATATTGTCCCATGTTCCATCCATTTTCCCAGCAATTTCCGATGCCATGGGACCCATTGGGACGGCCTGGCGATCTCCGCACATCTCAGGGCCACCTCTTTCTTCGAGGGTCTGGAAAACTTCAGGTCATAGCAATGGGAAGCCAGGCTTCGGACCTGGCACCCACAAAGCTCTGGAAATCTGTGAGAAATCTATGAGAAATCTATGGAAAAATGATGGGAAAACTTCGAAAACCATTGATTCGTCATCATGTTCTTTATTAAAGTGGGCTATTTGGCAGTATACCGTATACCCCATTTTCGGACACAGCCCAATGGCATGTTGCCTTGTTTTTCCATGTTTTCCCCGGAAAAGTCTGGGCACCTTCTGCCCGTGCTGATCGTTGCAAATGCAAATGATTGGGTTCCGGGTCCTTACTCAGCTCCGAATTTCAAAGCTCCAGTGCCCAGCCCGGCCCAACACCGCAAAGTACTGAGATTTGGACATCTTGATCATTTTGATGAGAGCTGCATTGCCACCTTTGTCACCAGCACCTGATGGCTCAGATATTTAAGCTTTGGCAACTCTGCATTCAAAAATATTTCAGAGATTTAGTCCAGGTGACAGACATGCTCCATTGGTTTATGGTGTTATAATCCATAAATATCAATTAATTATTATATAATATTAATATATGGAATTGGACATGTGTAGAAATGTGTGGTTTGGATTTGGCACTTCGTTCGGCACTGGATCTAGATCTGAGCGAAAGACCCATGCCGTCCACTTCATCCATGATGATCACAGCTTTCCTGAAACGAAGCAACTGTGATAAAGAGAAACCCTTGATGTGACCTGGCTGGCAATCGTGAATCTTGAATTTTCAAAATAATACCGAATAGAAACATTGAAATCGGAATCATACCTTCAAGACCACAAGCAAAGCGCAGGACTTCGCCTCTTTCCATGTTCTTGTCCTCACAAGTTGGAACCAGAAAACCACCATGGGGGTACCATAAATGGGGGTACCCCAAATTGGATGGTTTATAATGGAAAAAACTTTTAAACATTGATCATTTGGTGGTACCCAATTTCAGGAAACCTCTATATTTGCAAGGTATTGCAAAAAAGCTTTGACAGTCCTGAAAAGGAAATGGTGGAGTTCTGAGCAATGCCTTCTGCCATCTCCTGAAATTTGCAAGATCTGCCATCATATGTGCGGAATCTCTAGTACCATCAATGCCTGGATATTCACTTACCCTCTGGTAAACTAACATAACTATGGAAAATCACCATTTTTAATGGGTAAATCCACTATAAATGGCCATTTTCAATAGCTATGTTAAATTACCAGAGGGTAATATGTGATGATATTCTGCAAGAGAAGACATTCACGAGAAGCCCACAGCAACGATACATCTGCTGCCTTTTTTCAAGGCAAAGAAACAAACTGAAATCTCTACTGATGATATCAAGAATCAAGAAAACGGATTTTACAATATAATACCTCCCAAAAAAAAACAGAAAAGTGATTTACCACTATCTTAATGGGATTTTGCTTCTACTTTTCTATCTTTTTTGGGGTGACCATAAGTAAATTTACGTCACATCCTGGATATCGCTGGCACATCTGCACAGGACCCCGCACCTGGATCACCTTTTGCCCCCGCGCATCAGATGCATTGTATTCCAAGACCTCCAATCAAAACATCCCAGAAACAGCTGCGGCATCCCCAAGCTTAAGCCAAGCCGGTGGTTTCAATCTGTTTCAATGCTGCAAATTTCCTTGATTTCCAGCCGGATCTTGGATGTGATTCGGGACATTTCGGGACTCCTCCCAAATATCCCATGGATTCCCATGGTATATAGAATTATATGGATGTGGGTCAAAATGGAAGACCTAGGGGACCACAGATGTTAGTCTAGTTTAGTATTAACCATCCAATTATTGGGGTACCTAATTTTGACCCATACCCATATAGATCATTGTAGATCAACATAGATGGGTCATGGGCGGGCCTCGTAGCCGCCATGCAGTTGAGCAACCAGGCGGCAGGTGGTGGTTTTGCCAATCCCAGGAGGGCCACTGACCTCGGTTGCGAAAAATTGGTGCTGGTGGCAGGGACGCAGCCTGAGGCCATGGCCAGGGCTGCCCTTGCCTTGGGAATGTCTGCTTCAATGGTGACATCTGGATGTCAGATCTAGATCTGTGTGGTAAGGAAATTTCATGTGTATTTCAGCCAATGCTCAATCTGGAGCTAGCCAGCAAAGAAATGGTGAATCTTCCTCCTAAATATGATCTTCCATGGCACGTTGTTCCTCCATTTCGGGGCATTTGATGGTTATCTGCATGGGAGGTTGAAATAGCTCGGCTTCAATTAACTTCCACTAGGACTAGGACCATCCTGCACGCTCTGTGGACCCGACGTTGATATTCTCAAAGTTCCCGGGCCGCGAGGGTGAAGCCGTCTTCTTGCGCCCCCGCAAAACCACATCTTCCCAGTCACGAAGCCAATCAGCCAGGCGCTGAGTGGTAGAACCATTGCCTATGAGCTGGTTCAATTGGAATGGAGCAAAAATATCTACCCAGTTGAAGGGTGTTTGTGGCTTCTCCTCAGGTGAAGCAGGAGCTGGGTCTACTGCGGTTTTGGGAGGCTGCTTGGCACTGCTGGCCGCACTGATACTTCCAGTGGCTGGCAACATCTTCAGGAAGTCAGCCTCCGTAAGGACTTCGGCCGTGGCCTTGCCGAGCTTGCGCAACTGCAAGAACCTCTGGTACTTCGCTGATTCTTCTGCAGGCCTTCCATCTGGCATCTTTCCTCCCAGCACTAGGTATGAAGTTCGTTGGCCAACAGATGGTCCTATCTTTCCTCCAGCAGCTTCTACTCTGCGTTCCGCTTCTGCTTGAAGTACGGAATGCAAATCTGTAGCAAAGCAAATCAACTTCCCAGTCAAAACACCAGGGACACCTGCCTGTGGCTCTGACATTGGTGCAGCTGCTCGGTTGCGAAGAGGCGTCACTACCGGTAGCGGCGCAGTTGATTGGGAGCCACCTTCAGGTGCCGAGCTGGGGCTGGTGCTTGGTGTGGCTGGTGGGCTGGTTGCGCAAATGGGTTTGCTGCGATTCTCCTGCGGCTTTGTGACATCCTTCTTCCGGCTGTCCGGCAGCTTGAACTTGGCGCGGTTGACCCGCTGTGGTGGATCTGCATCCACCATGAATAACAAACTCCAGTGATTCCTAAAAAATCAGAAACTGCAAACTGCTCAGCTTTCTGAATGGAAGTTGGGAGTGCAGCATAGGTTTTCTCTCTTAGAGTAGTCGTAAGTCATTCCTGTATGTGTTTGCACTTCTTAGTCGGGCAAACGTAATGTTTCACTCTAACATGACGCTTTGGATGGTAAACTTGCTGTCTGTGCTCGCTGCTAAGGCATGAATTTGATTAGTTTGGCTTCCTCTCCACGTGATTTCTGCATCTGTCGCTTAAGCCTGAGTCCATGTGACACACCTTTGGCACAATCCATCACAGAGTTCAAGCATTGGAATTTACCAAGGGTCCTCAAGTGCTGAACTGAAGCAAGAAGGTGTATCTGAATCTAGTTGTTGTTGCAAACTACTCCCTCAGTTCCATTGAACCTTCAATTTGAAAAATGTCAGCTCCGAAACGGTGAATCAGCTCAATTCAGCATACTAAAAACCATAGAGCCAAGTGGAGCTGATCCCTCCTGGCTGCTGTTCAGCTCTGGTCGAAAGGCGATGGGCGACACAGCGCTCGCATCGCCACCAGCAACTCCTGGATGCCGAATTCCCCAATCCCGGATGTAAAGTATACATATATATTTATATATTATATATATGATAGATAATATATATATATATGATAGGTTATATATATATACATATGTATATATACACATACATACATACATACATACATACATACATACATATATGTGATAGGCAACAATACAGTATATTATAGTTAGTGATATATATATAATATTGTTATTTATAATATATATATATATATTACATACACAATAGTTATATCTCATACATACATACATACATATATATATATATGATAGATACACATATTATAATATATATATATATATCCGACTAGTATCCAAAAATCCCACTTGGCGGCAACATGTGACATTTCCTACTGGCATGGTCCAATCTGGTGCCATGCCTTTGGCTCCTGAGATGTCCAAGCTGGAAAGAAATGGCCTAAGCAACTTGGATCACAATCGATTTTCAGAACGGTCCCTGCAAGTCCCAAGCTCTGGTGGAACATGAACCAAGACGGACCAAGACTGGTGGAATGTGAGGTTTTTGGTAATTTTACAGCACCCAAAAGTGTGAGACCAGGAATCCAAACTATCAATCCAGGGACTGTAGCCATTGGTTCATCAATGTTCATCAGCAAGAATAAGAGCAGGACGAAGACAAGAGAGAAGCACTCTGCCCGCCAGTGTTTCCCAACTCCGCTGCCTGCCAGGGTCAAACCAATGATCAAAATAGGCACAAGGAGAAAAGGATCATGGTGTTTCCCTGTATGCATTTTAGAATAATTCTACCCATTGCGTAGCAGCGAATGTTTGATGCTTGGGAAATTCATTTGCTTGCTTTGGATGACTCATTTGGTCACACTTTGCAAGACAAATTTCACAATGTCTGCTGAAACATGTTCACTTTCATGCGCGAAATGTTCGGCGTGCTGCATGCAGCAACTTCAAGATCTCAAAGCAATCGTGTCTTCTTGCTCCATCACAAAAGTCTGGTACGAAACCAGCTGCCAAGTCAGCAAATCTTTGAGACACCGAAAAACAGGTTGGATTGGTTCCATTCAGTTGGGATTTTTCTTGATATACAACCGGTATATTCCACCTCCTGGGTGATCGGAGCTGCTTCACCTTGCTTGGGATCAGCAGCTAGGAGGGTAAGGGGTTGAAGAAGGGGCTGAATGGGGAATGGTTATTGAGATATACTGGGCTATATGTTCATGTAACATTAGATTACCCAAAATCAAGTCGAATCTAATCTACAGTAAATTTGGGATGTGTAGATATGTTCCGTATGTTGAAGCACCTTGTTTTGGAGATAAAATTCTATTTGCAGGGGAAGAATCCTCACATTTCTGGTTTTCCATGAAGGATTGACGGAATTCAAACCAAACGATCTACAGCGTTGTCGACACATTAGAGCTACAGTCATCCTTTGAATGCCGTTTTTAACCTTCAATTTCCAATACTTGGTATCATATGGGAACAAATGGGATCACAATGGATCATTCAATAGTCTAAGATCATACAAGATCCAAGATCATACTAGGTAGTACATGATCATTTTATAGATCAGATGAGATCAACTAAGAATCATATGATATTAGATCATTTCAGATCATATTAAAGTCATATTTAAACAATAGTAGTAATCATATAATTAAAATTAGTAAATAAAATAAAAAATATAAATATAATATAATATATATATATATATATAATTTAAATATATATATAATATAATATATATAAAATAAAAATAATATATAAAATGTATCAAATAATATATATATAATATGTAAAATAGTAAATATATAAAATACAATATTTGAAAAAATTGATAATATGTATTACATAAAGAAAAAATGATATATAATATATAATAAATAATATACAATAAATAAATATGATATATAAAATATGATATATGATATTTTTCTATAATATATATATATAAAAAAAGTAAAAATAAATATAGAAAAAATATAATATATAATATGTAATATATGAAATATAATATATGCTTTCTTTGAAAACAAATATATATATATATTATAGATATAATAGAAAATATATAATAAACACTAAAAATATAATATGTAATAAATGATTACCAAAATATGAAATATAATATATGAAATAAAATATATATAATATATATTATAAAAAAAATATATATAATATGTAATATATGATATATTGCATATATGATATATAATGTATGAAATACAATATATAAAATATATAATATATAATATATATGTTTAATATATAATATGTAATATATAAGAAATAAATATATGATATATACTATATGACATACAATAAATATATATATATATATAATATTTTTAAGAAATATAAAATATTTTAAAAAAAACAGATAATATGCAATATTAAAAGTAATAATAAATAGCAAATTATATATAATATGTAATATATATATTATATAATAAAATATGTAATATATATAAGAAGTAATATATGATATAAAAAAATGGTATATAATACACCAAAGATGTAATATATAATATGTAAAATGTAAAATATAAACAAAATATAATATGTAATGTTTAAGAAAAATATATGATATATAAAACATGATATATAATATATCTAAGGTATAATATATAATCTGTAAAATGTAAAATATATAATATATAATATGTAATATATAATATATATATAGTATGTAATATGTATTATATATGATATATAATATAAAATTATATTTATAATATAATATATATAGTAAATAATATATAATATTATATATGTAAAATAAAAAGTATACTACAATAAAGATCACAAAATCCTGGCACCGCGATGATCCCTTGGCCTTCCCCTTGGCTCATCTGATCTTGGCTCCGGACTTCCCCGGGACCGGGAGGCATGGGCTAAGACCCTCGAGATGAGCCTGTCAACTCCACCTGGGGCAAGCGAAACCCAGTGGCTGTTGATCTTGAAAATGTTTATAAAATATGGAATCATATCTATATATATATAGTTATGATATAATGTTGATATAATTTGATATATGATATCTATATTATATTATATATATATTATACTATATATAACTATATATATTATTGTGTTAAATTATATTATTTTATTTTATATTATATTGTATTATATATACATGTTGACATAAGTTTGATACTGTTTGAAAGAGTTTGACAGAATTTGATTGTTGCAGTGGCATGTTTCGATCACTGTGTTGGATTGGATTCCATCATCAAAGGTTTGTGTGAGATGTGTCACACGTATTGGTTCAACTACGTGCGTTGCTTCATCAACACGTGATCAAAAATGGAAACACATTTTCATACCAAGCCGGCTGCTTTGTTGCACTGCAATCTGCTGTGGAGCCGGAGTGGGGACTTCCCTTAGCATCCAGGGCTCGTCCGTGTGGTATGTGCGTGACGCAGACCATCGAACTCGTTTGGCGACTGAGAGGCTGACGTTCGAGGTGCGGCATGCCAGCCTGCTCCCAGAGGTTGGAAGCGGTTCTGATTCTTTCACAAGACAAACCCAGCAAATTGATCCAAAACATGGGATTGTCATCACCTAAATATCACATATCATCACAATCCGATAAACCAATGCTATGGTTTTTGGATGTTTATCATCACATATCATCACCCGGGAGCCCCCCATCCACACCTATAGTTGACCTCGCATGGAGCAGAACCCGATCGGCCAGCCGCTCCACAGACGCCATGAAGACCTGGAATGATGATGATCAGCTGATTAATCCAATACTCCTAGTATTAAACTCCCCCTAAATGTCTCAAATATCAGTAAAAACATGTAAACACAATGGTTTCTGAGGAGGCGTTTATGGTAATACTAGGGGAGAAGGAATTCTGAGTGTTCATATTATATAGTAGTGCTAGTATCATTACTAGTATGTTGCTATATGGCACAGTATTATTGTGCATTACTAATCATGTTGATGGCGGCACTAGTAATTAATGGCAACAACAATAAGTATAAGAAATGATGATAAGAACAATCATTCTTGGGTACCATTTTTCATTGAATCGGAATGCTCCTTCATTTACATCGCATAATCATGCATAATCTCATGAAGCATAGTTTTGCTCCCAACTCTGAGAAGAATTGAGAAGAGGTATAAAAAGCCAGGAGCAGTCGGATCATGCTCTATCTTGTTGGACTGGCGCCTGGCGTGTTTTTTTAGCACAAATTTCCACCACAAGGGTCTTTAGTCGAGCTCAAATGTCTCCAAGGTCCAAGGTATTCCAAGGTCACCATGTTCATCACCCGATTTCGGTGACGAGCTTTGGTAACAAACGTAACGATTTGCTGATGAAACAGGCTGAGAGTTCCTCAGCTTTACAGCGATCTCAAAGTGGCCATCAAGAGTTCAGGGTCACTCGCGATCCTGGAGCCGTCGGTTGACATGATCAAAGAGAAAACTTATGATAGAAGGGAAATTTTACAGGAAGGCATATATACAGTAGTGTATATATACCGTTTGATATCATCAAATTTTGGAGGTCCTGCATTTTTTTTCCTTCAAACAAATCTGGTATCATATAATTGATTCTTATGATATCATTGGATGGTCTTGTTACTTGTTTGTCAATGCCTTGTTCTGGCTTGATCTATGGTACAGTTCAATGACAGATATATCCGCCGACCCCTGCTGCAGCAGGGGGAGCGTGTCAGAGGAGAAATTACCAGCAGCTAGTCCGTCCTTCACTGCTGTGGTGTTTTCGCCCTGCGACAGGGTCCTTGGGCCCGAGCTGTGCAAGACGAAAGCCAGCAACAATTTGGAAGCTGGCAGTAGTGCAGGACGGCAGGTAAAAGCAAGGTTTGAAGCTAATTTCAAGGCAGTTCAGAAAGCAACGTTTGGCAGTATGGGCTGCCGGCCGCGGGCCGGATCCGTCCTTCACTGCCACGGTGTTTGAGCCCTGCGACACGGTCCGTGGACCCGAGCTGACGGCAGGAAAAAGCAAGGTTTGAAGCTAGTTTCTAGGCAGTTCAGAAAGCAACGTTTGGCAGTATGGGCTAGCGGCCGCAGGCCCGATCCGTCCTTCACTGCCATGGTGTTTGAGCGGGTAGGGTTGGTGTCGGGGAACGGGAGTCGGAGAAGTCGGAGAACGGCAATGTTGGTTTCGGGGTGTTTGAGCCCTGCGACACGGTCCTTGGACCCGAGCTGACGGTAGGAAAAAGCAAGGTTATAGTTTCTAGGAAGTTCAGAAAGCAACGTTTGGCAGTATGGGCTGCCGGCCGCGGGCCGGATCCGTCCTTCACTGCCACGGTGTTTGAGCCCTGCGACACGGTCCGTGGACCCGAGCTGACGGCAGGAAAAAGCAAGGTTTGAAGCTAGTTTCTAGGCAGTTCAGAAAGCAACGTTTGGCAGAAAGCAACGTTTGACCGGACTTCGGAGCTAGCTTATAGTCGCTTCAGAGTGTAACGTTTGTTGCTGGAAGCTAGCAGTACAGAAGCGCAGGCAAAGTCAAGGTTTGCAGTGGTTTCTAGTCACTTCAGAAAGCGACGTTTGGCACTGTGGACCACTGACTGTACAAGACGTAGGCGAGCTGCAAAATCTGCAAAAGGACGCCAGCAAGTTGGAGGCTAGCAGTGTTGTTGGTGTAGCGGTGCCGTCGCGTACCAGCTTTCCCGGCGGCATGCGCGTCCGGCATTGTTTCTTTGCCTGGATTTGATTTGGCCATCAACCTCGAGTGTCCAGGGGTCGGCGGCAGAGGGCGGAGCCCTTTATCCGGCCAGGGGCCCCCTGCATGGCCATGGCATTGCCGTACGGCAGTTCTCTCCTCTCCGTAGGAGAGAGGGGCCGCCGCCCCTGCCGCCGACCTCTCCCCCCCGCCAAAGATGCGCCAACATAGCCCCCAAGATGGGCCAACATGGCCACCAAGATGGGCCAAGATAGCCCCAAGATGGACCAACGTAGCCCCAAGATGGGCCAACATAGCCCCAAGATGGGGCCAACATAGCCCCGCCACATTGCCCCAAGATAGGTCAACATAGCCCCAAGATGGGCCAACATAGCCCAAGATAGGCCGCCACATAGCTCCAAGCTGGGCCCACATTGCCCGCAAGATAGGCCAACATAGGCCAACCTAGCCACAAGATGGGCCAACATAGTTGGGCCCCTGGCCGGCTGTCGCGCGTAAGCGCTTAAATTATAAATCCGGCGATGCCTCGCCGTTTGGTGGTGTTGCTAAGCGCATAGCTTTAGCTACCCGGGGGCGCGCCGGTGCCGCCGACCTTTTCCAAAATCCTTCAGGGTGCTGGGGTTTTCACGTTTTTCGGGGTTCGGGGTGGGAAAACAGAGGGTAAAATTCGAAGATGCGTTTTGGAGGTCCTTGTTGGTCGTTTTTTGTCGATTTTTGGTCAATTTTTCATATTTTTTTGGTGCTGTCCACGCGTAAAAATCATGTAATTTACAATGTTTTTGTGCCTTTGGCATCTAAAAAAAGCTTCTGACAACATGCTGGAAACTGCGTAAATACCGGTGTTTTTGCTAGGCCCGGGCCACAAAACACTGTAAATACCGTGATTTTTGCTAGCAGATGCTCAAAACCTCGTAAATACCGTGGTTTTGTGTTGGCGCGGAGCCAAAAACATCGGTATTTACGGTGTTTTTTTGTTCCGAGAACGTGAAAAATCACGAAAACACCGCCTATTTGTCGCTTTTTGGGGGTTTGCAAAAACTGTTGGTTTGACGATTTTGGGGGGTTTGCAAAAAGTACCAACTACAAAGATAACAACGACAACGACAACAGGACCAAGCAGCAACAGCTATAACAACAATAACAACAACGACGACGACGCCGCCGACGACGACGAAGACGACGACAACAACGACAACGACGACAATGACGATTCTTACCTAGTTCAGATGAAATCCCCCTCTCTCTCTTTCCCTCCCCCGACCCCTACAGCCATCGCCGGTGTGCGAAGCTCTACAATTATACATGATTATACAATACAACAAAAACAATAATGATAATAATATGAATCATATGAAAATGTCAAGCCTTCCGACATCTTCTGACACAACCATGCTGCCAAGGATCTTCTTGCCAACGGCTTGGAAGGCTTGGGCAATCCTTGGGCCAGCAGCTCAGGTCAAATTGGGGTCACTGTTGTCCCAGAAATCCTCCAAAATGATGAACTTCCAGTGGTCAAAGCATGTCACAGCCATCCTTTTTGAAGGCTTATAATTTGGTACACGTCCTGGTGGCTGCTGTGCCAAGTATCGGAGATGCTTCGCCATCTTCTCCTGCGCTTAATGATGGCGTACGTCGGTGATTCATTTCCTACACCATTCCTTTCCGAAGTGCGCATGTTTGCCTCAGATGGTGTTTCTTTTTTGTGAGTTATATGATGTTCCATACTGCTTGGGATGCAATCCCCAAGTGGCTACGATTGGCTACGTACTTTACCCAGCGGTGAAAACGCTAATTTAGGTTCCCTCCAACTCTCAGACCGAATGAGGACTCCTGGAAAGCTCACTTGAGATTCTGCCAGAAACGGACGCTCTTTCGTTGTGACCTGCAGTTCCAACACCATCGCCATCAAGCTGCGTTAACTTTAAAGGGGTTGGATACTCAGCCATTGGCAATGGTCTACAAAGCTGTACTGACTGGTAACATCTAATTATACGGCCAGGCGCCTTGTGTTGCCCGGAGATTTACAGGGACGTTCCCGGCATGATGATGATGATGATGATGATGACGATGATGACGATGATGATGATGATGATGATTGAAGATCTTCAATGAATATAAGAGGTTAACGGAATTGGGAGAATTAAACCTATATTGAAGATCTTCAATGAATGTAAGAGTTTAACGGGGGTGGGAGAATTAAACCCTTATTGAAGATCTTCAATGAATGTAAGAGTTTAACGGGGGTGGGAGAATTAAATCTTTATTGAAGATCTTCAATGAATGTAAGAGTTTAACGGGGGTGGGAGAATTAAACCCTTATTGAAGATCTTCAATGAATGTAAGAGTTTAACGGGGGTGGGAGAATTAAACCCTTATTGACGATCTTCAATGAATGGAAGAGTTTAACGGGGGTGGGAGAATTAAACCCTTATTGAAGATCTTCAATGAATGTAAGAGTTTAACGGGGGTGGGAGAATTAAACCCTTATTGAAGATCTTCTATGAATGTAAGAGTGTAACGGGGGTGGGAGAATTAAACCCTTATTGAAGATCTTCAATGAATGTAAGAGTTTAACGGTAGTGGGAGAATTAAACCCTTATTGAAGATCTTCAATGAATGTAAGAGCTTAACGGGGGTGGGAGAATTAAACCCTTATTGAAGATCTTCAATGAATGTAAGAGTTTAACGGGGGTGGGAGAATTAAACTCTTATTGAAGATCTTCAATGAATGGAAGAGTTTAACAGAGGTGGGAGAATTGAACCCTTATTGAAGAATCTTCAATGAATGTAGAAGTTTATAACGGGGGTGGGAGAATTTCTATGAGATGTATAGTGTGAACAAAAAATCCTTGTAATTTACGCTATTCTGTGTTTGGGCAACACAAGGTGCCTGTGGCTAACTATATGTGCCATGTTTAAGACATGGTATATGGTTATGATGGTTTATGATGGTTTATGGATGTTTATGGTCATCCATCCCAAAATGGGAATCCTTGAAATGGGTATATAAAAATATATAAATCCCTATGATGATTGATGACTATCCCCCGATATACGTCTACAACTCCAAGTCTTGACGCTAAATGTGACGTGGTCAGCTGCCTCCACAGGCTGAATCGGTTGTGACAAGCCAGTACAGGTCGTCCGCGCAGCAGGTGGAACACTCGGGAGGCTCTCAGCCGGAAGTGTCATCCAAGCTTGAACACCTTGGGTTGCGACATGTTGCGACTTATTTCAAAACCTATCAAGGAATTTCAACCATTTTGGGGGAATGTTAAGGGATGAAACATGATGAAACTGATGAAAACTCAAGTCGTTGTCTCAGTGCAAGATCCTACCCAGACAAACAGTTGTCATTTCCCCAAGAATTGGTCATGTACAAACTTGATCAGTACCAATACGATCCCCCTTCCAGTTCTATTGGGAAATGATGGATTCCCGCAAAACACCATCACATTGGATATGTTAATCCAACACCTTCAACCTAGACTCAATCAACTCCCACAACTCCCACACGACTATAGCTCAACTTGGATATCAAGTCAGTCTGTACTCGAAAATAGGATGCTTGCAGCTAAAGTCCCCAGCAGATCATCTAAAATCTCTCGTCTCCTATAAGTTTGACCCCATTCCACCGTTTATCATCATGCTCCCCATCAAAATTGTCATCCAAAAATGTTGCTGCTATCCCCAATTCTTCGAAACCAGTGCCCCATAAAAAATAGAAATCCGAAAATTCACAATTACAAGACATTCGAAGTCCAGTCACCAGTGGAACTATCACAGCTGGGTGTCTCCATCTCCTTCTCCAGCTCCACCACGTATGTCCCGTCCACCGCCTGGGGCGCCATCGGGGCCACGGGGCCGCCTGCGGCCTCGAGCAACCGAAGCACGCGGACAAAGGACACCGCCGTGTCGATGGTCAGCTGGTCCACCATGGCTTCACAAACGGGAGGGATCAAGTCTAGAACCTCCAGGGCAGGGACCAATCTAGTTCATTTGGATAGCAACTTGGGCAAGAGATAAGTATCATAGTATCTATATATGTATCTATAATGTTTTGATAGTAGATGATAGTATAATTGGATACTATTAGTGTCTATATAGCTAATTAGAATTCCTCCAAAATTGATGGCTCATGATGTTCGACAATGTTTGATAGTGGTAGTTATTGTGATATTGTTGCTTAAATTAATCTTAAGTTAATTACTGAACACGAAAACTTTATTGCGGTATAGGATTGGGAATCTGGAAGATCTTCGCAATGACACTTCTTAACGCTTATTGAAACGGGTCCGAAGATGCATGGAAACATGTTCGAATACCACGGCGGCAAAACGCTTGCATCTCTTACGGGGATCAAATTGGACCATACATGACCATACGTTTTTTGTACTCGGATGCGGTGGTCTCCCATTGCACCCAACACTCTGAGCACATTTTTAGAGATTAGAAAGTCATCCAGTCGCATCTTAAAGTACTCTAATTTCACCCAAACCTCGTACTTGTGTGCCAGTTCCAGTACACCTGGGAGCTGTTGTCCAGTCGCATCCAATTCACCCAAGTAGATGAAGCGAAGCATCGCCTGCAGTTCTGCCGGATCTGCCTCCACTGACATGGAATTGGAGAGGCCCTCCGACATCCCGCTGGATAGCATGGCCTTGAACACGGGTGATGCGGCAGATAAAATGCAGCCATGGGCTCGCAAGGTACCTCCACAAACGTTGAAGACGAAATCACCGTCTTCACGAGAGCGCCACAGGTTTGTCACTAGCCTCGCTTGGAAAAAAAAAGACGCGAAATTGAGAGTTCCGCTGTCATTCCGCACGATAGATGAAGGATATCCCCAAGTTGCACATTGGATTACTGGGTGCCTATTCAACACCCCAATGTACAAAAAAATCGATTCTTCCTTTAATGACTTGAAACCTATATAAATGGATGCTCCTCGAATGAATGAATCTTCCCAACAATTCCCATATTCCAGCTTTTTTCCAGCTTCGTACTGTCCCTGTAGTGGTTCCCTTTAGGTTCCTAGGACCTAGGAGCCCTTTCACATGCTCGCTTCGAGCTTTCTTCAGCTTGCGCTGCGGCGAGGAGTCGCCCGGTGATCCTTTGGAATTCGCTCGGCTTGCGGGCTGTGGCGGCGTCTCAGGCTCCGAGATGGGGATCGGCATGGTCTGGAACCGTGATACACGGCCCTTAAATGTCCTGAAAAAGGTGGGAATTGAAGCAAGAATGTTGTAAAAAAATTGTCAGTCATATCCTATGTATAAAATTTCACTATCAGTTTTAATCAGGTTTATATCTTAGTAAGAACATATTATGTAACATATTATAATATATTATAATAATCCATTGAAATCCATTGAGATTGGAAGAAGACTATAGACATCATTTTTGGGCAAATTCTTGGCTGTGAAAAAGGTCCAAAGCTACGGATGTGTCAGTTTGGCAAATGAGCGACGGTCAAGTTGATATATCCCTTCATATCACAGCTGCATCATCTCAAAGATCAGGAAACCCATCGCGACATTCTTTGTTTATCTTTGTTTCAAATAGAACTCCAGATATCTCAATTGTATCATATTGTATCTAAATCATTCTAAATCATTCTAAATCTCGCATGTCGACAATGTCTCATGTTGTAAGTTGTCACCACTCTCCCAATTCTTAGCCCAGTCTTCTCCCTCAATTTCCAGTTTAGGAGTGTTTAGGATGGTTTGCACAGCTGGATCCAATACCTGTCTGTTTCGAGTTGCACACACCTGGGCTCAGCAGGCTGGCACAGGTACAAATCAACAACAGTCCTCCAGCAGTTTCTGAGGGAGGAGTACTGAGGTGCAGACACTTTGGTATGCTCAGCATGCTAAGCTACTGGTTGCTGAACTCATCCTTCTCAAGTTTCTCTTGTCGCGCAGCAATTGTGCAAGCATGATGGAATATCTGGTGTGTCAACTCAATTGGTCTTGTCTTTTGCATGGAATTGGCTAGCACATGCGTTCGTCTGCAGGCAAAGTAGCCTCATCAGGACTGTGTTCTATTTACCTGCATGGATCCTTCGTCTTTTGCCTTTTGCATCCTTTTGCCAGAAAAATCCTGCAGTGCCGTAGAACCATGCGGAATCTATGGAATCTGGAAACAAGCACCAAAGGCTCCGCAAAGCCAACTGCAATGGTTCGACCTCGATCTTTTTTTCGTCTTGCTCGAACCACCGCTCTACCCAAGCCGGCAGCTTCCAATTCGGCCGGGCTGTCCTGGTGCGAGGCATGACTTGCTAAGATGTTGGGGTCCCTTGGGCGGAGCTCTCGCGTCCCGCTGGCCTTCCCCGTTCCTAGTTTGCAATATTGAAAAGAAATGCCAAATGTTCGACAGGTTTCCTGAGTTTCCTGATGTTTCTTGCAAGAAAACTAACAAGTCCTCGCAAAGGCACCAGTGGGGATCGTAGACACCGAGGGAGTGGTCCCCTGAGCCCATCTGAGCCCCGCTCACCCAAACAGAACAGCCAAAGCCCTGAGCCGCCAGGCCTCTCCAGTGACGTTGGCCAAAATGGGAGGCGTGCCCCAAAAGCCCGGATCGAAGCCCCAGTCTGGCATGGAAACTCGATCCCGGATGGTACCTCAGATAAGGTGCCATGGAGGAGCATGGAGAGGAGCAACTTCGGAGAGGATATGCGAACCAAAACATCATCCTCGTCATCATCATCATCATCATCATCATCATCATCATCATCATCATCATCATGAATCATCACTAGTGTCACCGAATTAATAAACCCTGGTTGATTCATGTGGGTGGTTGCTCACAAGTAGTGACCACCTCTGCCAACTTGACCCACCTCGTGGTCCACCTTCCACGTCGGTGCGCACCCTGCGCGGAATGAATTTACGCGGCAACACAGCCTGAGTTGAAGATGAAGAGGAAATTGCTACAGGTAAATCTCGCGTATTGATCCAGCTTGATCCGTTTTGATGTTTGGGTATTCTATGTATTCTTAACATTTCCAAACATCACTCTGAGATTGTTCCTATTTCTCTGGGTATCAAACGGGGCCACCCCCGGAAGCATGGCATGGGCCTCGGGACCCGTAAGAAAAGCGGCAGTCGAGCATCTGCCTCGTGCGCTGTTGAACTTAGCATGGAAAATTGTCATCATTGGTCCACTTCTCCCAGTTCTTAGGACGTAAGAGCATGGTAATGTAACATGATCATGATCATGATCATGATGATGATGATGATGATGATGATGACGAGGATGATTCATGCAGTAAGACTCAGTAAGACTGTGTGCAACTAAAACATATTGGTTGAAACTACGACGGCGACGACGACGACTACTACTACCACCACCACCACCACTACCACTGCCACTGCCACTGCCACTACCACTACTGTACCACTACGACTACGACTACGACTACGACTACTACTGCTGCTGCTGCTGCTGCTGCTACTGCTGCTACTACTACTACTGCATATGTTGCTTTCCAGACCCTCTTCACGTTCCCATCCTTTGGGCATGTGCCTCACGTGAAGGCAAAACTGGATCTTCGCCTTGGGCAAAAATGTTGGAACACAACGACCTACTGTAGCGCTGGATTTCAACAGCTTTCAACTAAGAATTGACGTAGAACAGAAACAAACAGTACAACATCATGACAGATGACGCATGCAACACCAAAATTACAGTAATCCACAATGAAATGGGTCGTGTACTGCGCCGTACTGTTGCGACAAAATTGGCGACTACTCCGGCCCCGACCGAAGATCCAATGCCACGCCCTTTCCAAGACCTCCCCCCACAAACCGAAGTCAGCCACCGGAGTGTGTCCATTCCTGCCAGGTCAAAGTCACCTGGAAAAGCTAGTAAAATCATTTGTAACATCCCCAGTGTTGATGTTTAATCTCCAAAAATGCAACGGAAATGTCTTAAAATCATCCCCAGTTGGTCCCCAGTCTTGTGGTTTTTAAGCTCCCAATGTTTTGTTAAAAATATCTCCCAATCCCCACTGCAACCCACGTGTGTCCTTTCTGTTCGCTGCTCGTAAACTCTCCGAGCTGCCAGTCTGACGTTTGAGAAGATTGGCTTCTTTGAGTGAACATGTGTAAGCATGGCTCCAAATACTGGATCGTGGTAGTGGATTAGGGATGATTCTATGGCACTAATATATCCTGGACTCTTGGACGATTCTGTGATTATTAATGGGGATATAGGTAGCCAACAATCATCCAACAATCATGGGGATCTCACTAATCAATACTAATCATGTATCTCAATGTGAAGTTGAAAATGTTGAAGTATTGTTGAAGTGAATCGTGAATTTTTCAATCTGAGTTGCTTTGACCCTTTTAAAATCCATTTGGAGAACTCTGAAACCGGTGGTGAGTTGGTTTTTGCCTACCACTGTGGCAATGTCCGTGCTATAGGCTTTGGCTTCAAAAAACAACATGGGTCAACCCACAACATATTCAACATTGATCATGTTTTGGTATGGGTCTTATAGTCTTACACCGGGGCTCAACGATTTTCAGCCACAGCCATGTCCAATGACGCCCCATTCCATGGGGTCAACAGCACCTGCAAGCTGCAGGCGAACCGTCAACGGCTGTACCGTTCAACTGGCCACGGGGGCACATGACTTAAGGCACGTCTTTCATGCTTGGATACCGAATTTTGTCTTGCAGCATCTTGCAGCTAGTTTCAGGTGATGCTTCCTGCTTAGCTGCAGACACTCAGGCGATGATGCAAGGATTGCCAGACCACATCTGCAGAGGGATTGAGGGATTCAGAATGATTCAGATGCTGATGGTTACCAACCAAACTACAAGAAGAGCAACAATGATGAAGCATGGTGACAATTAACTTGACAAAAGAAATGGAACCGGATGTTGATATTGACTCATATTGACAGCAAAAGTTGGGAAACTGACATCTTGCCTGATCCTGCTGACTTTTCATCCAGTCCCCCGATTAATGCCAAGATACTCCAAAAGCCATCAGGCACGCGCTCCATTCGTTGACGGGACACGACAAACTGCGTGCAGCAGTAGGTTGACATGTCCAACCTTGCAAGATGCCAATGTTCCAAGAAATCGACCACGATGGAAAAAAAATGCTACGCTGAGAATGCTGTATAGAAGTGTATAGCGTATACAAAATATACATTACAAATCATTACAAAATATCACAAACACAGTCCGTTTGGATCCCTTTGGTATCGTTTGGCAATGATTTTGCAACCAACGTGCCGCGAGATGAATCGGATGAATATGCTAAGTTTCCCTGCGGCAAATCAGCAGGCCCAGCCTGGGTCAGGAAAAAGTCCGTCATTTTGATATGTGCAAAGAACAAAAAAGAGAAAAAATAAACCCGAAGACCTTCCATGACCTTAGAATTTGAAGCATGTTCGAAGCCCCGACATAACTTCAGAAGCCAATACTTTGGTCCCCCTCTGTGGCATAGCTCAGTTGCAGCATCTTTTTGGCTCATGGCTCTGCATCTGAGTACCAACTGCACAGCAAAGCCATTGCCGTTGTCGGCGTTGGTCCAAAGATAGTGAGAAACCTCTTCCCAGCGTCCCTCGGCCGGGCTGTCGGTCCCGGACTTATGACAGCATTTCTGTCAGACTCGACGCTCTGCACTGGGGTCTCTAAAAGAGGAGCTTTGGATTTCATGTTTGGGATCCCCCTCGGATCTTGATTTGGACAGTTTGATTGATAGGACATCAAGACTATCAAGATCATCAGGTGTGATTTTTTAAGGAACTGGCATACCTTGCCTGTTAGGCTGCAACCCTCTACTTCAGGAGGATTCCTGACCATGAGCATGGACTGAAGGGACTGAAGGCGCAAAAATTGGAGCCTGCTGCCTACGGCAGTCTTCTCCATTGACACTTCAGGTGTTCCATGCCATGACTGGCAAGAAACGCGGTTCAAAACGGCTGCACAGCGCTGACCAATAGTCAGCTGCAGCTGGGCGAATTTGACCAACTGTCATCGTGCACCTACATCATGCAAAATAGCGTTCGTCCACTTCGCAAGCCATACTTCGAATCTGCACCTTTGCAGCGCAGTCCGTGGCAGGGCCTGTGAAGGATCGAGATCGAACTCTTCCTTCCCTACCTTCTTTACCATCCTTATCCTTCAGATTTCCTTCTCTGCCATCAGAATCTGTATCAAGGATAGCATCTGTCAGGACCTTTTGAAAGATGGTGCTACAGCTTGCCGTGGTGGATGCAAAGGACTCAGTGAAGCCCCTGGGCCGACCTCCATCTGGACTGTCATCAAACATGCGCAGAGTGGGCTGATCTGCCAGATCTTCACTGGAGGGTAAACCTCGCAAGCTTTTGCCCATAAGAGCAGCAACGAAGCAAGTGTAATTCACCACACCATTTCCTGCAGCGAAAAGGGGAATTCATCCGGCAACTCTTTTGGAATCTTTTGGATGTTCTTCGGGAAAAAGAGAACTAGCTTTCTAGGATCAGAGAGGAGAATCCCATCGGCTTGTCTCAACACAGAAGCCTGGGAGTGCAGTACAACAACATCCAACAGCTACCACCCAAGAAAACAAAGAAACAAAGGAGTCGGGCTTTGTCAGTCCTTTGAAGTCCACCTCTTTGATCCATTGTTCAGCTTCCTCCTTGGACAATTCCCTGGGTTGCACCAGTTCACCCTGAGCGCCCTTAACCTGCCGCGCAACGCGGCGATTGAAGCCCCGCACTAGGGAGTCAGCCGTGATGTAGCCCTTGCCATCCACATCAAATGCTTCAAAGGCTGCGCGGACCTTGTCCTCATGGAGGGCCACGCGGGTTTCCAGTAAGGCCGCAACAAAGGGCGTGTATTGGATCTCTTCATTCTGGGCAAAGTCGAAGCTATGAAAAATCCGGCTCACCTCTTCCGATGTAATTCTGAGGCGAGATTGCATGGTATCTTTCAATTGCTCCTGCGTGATGGTGCCGCGTCCAGAATTGTCGAAGTCCAAAAACGTTTGCTCCAAACCTTCCAACTCCGCTGACGTCAAGCTGTAGGCCAAAATCATCAAAGCAGCCCGCCTCAAATGGGAGCCCTGGGCAAAGGTCCTGAGACTCTTCAAGACATCAGTGCCAATCTCCGGTGATGGATTCCCATAACGGCACGTGAGCCAGGGGTGATCCAAAGCTTCAGCGGCTGATAGTCTCTTGGACACGTCCTTTTCTAGGAGCTTCATGATAAAGTCTTGAGCCTCTGGCGAAAGGTACTCCCAACGGCCATTTTTTTGAAAGTCCACGTCCATAATCGCTCGTGCAATCTTGGCATTCGTGGAGCCCCTGAAGGGTGGGCGACCCAACAGCAGCATGTAGCAGATGACGCCCATGCTCCTTTCCATGGAATCCAGGTGCCAGGGCAACACCCCCAAGGATAGAAAGGGCAAGTTGGAGAAGGGAACAGCTGGAACAGCCAACAAAAAAATGGCCCACCTTTCAAAAACCTGAATCGTGTTCATCCCCATAACTCCCGACTCTAGTTCTAACAAGTAGTATGTAGTGGCACTGCAATCATGACAAAAATATATAGCCCAAATGATCCCAGATCCCGAATGATCCCGATGACTAGAAGCAGTTCAATTCCACGATCAACACTTCATAAATATATGATAATATATGTCCCGTGAAATCTCGTGCACCGCAGCAATGCTCAGCCAGGTCTCCAGAGATCACACTTGCTGCTATAGTTGCGGCTCAGGACCTCTGGACTGGTATAATGCAAAGTTCCACAAGGCATCTGCAGCATGGTATCATCCGTTGCTATGATCTCAGAGAAGCCGAAGTCAATCAGCTTCAAGCGATCCTGGCAATGGCAATATGGCATTGTTAAATAGCCATCACCAGGGGGAAATGGGCTGACCTTGATGGCTTCCACTTCAGGATACATCACTGATATATATATATATATATATATATAATTATATATATTATACATATATTATACATATATTATACATATATATATATATATATATTATACATTATATATCATTATATTATCATCTCCTGAAATTTACAGTAACCTTCCATGCATCACTGGGGTCTGAGACTGTTTGCATGGTGGTTTTGGTCCCCCAAAAGCGAGCAACCAGAGTGTCCTGATCTGAAGTGCCATACATCCAGTTCTCCAACTTCAGATCCCGGTGCACAATATTGTGACTGTGCAAGTAGTTGATGGCTTGGAGCATCTGCCTCATGACATCCGCCGCGGTCTCCTCACAGTAGACCTCGGAGAGAAACATCTTGAAACAGCGGGCATTCGTGTAGCTGATCTTTTGTAATCAATGGGTAGTTACAGTATACATCAGTATACTGTAATCTGCTTGTCTACAAGAGATATAGAAATACAATAATTTTTGAGAATCTTCGAAATTCTTGTCTTTGGGAGATTCCAGTTCTCACTTCAGCAACTGTTTTTTTCCTGATGTTTCCCAAGTAATGAAAAAAGATGAAAAAAGTGCCGGCGACAACGAAAATGAATGAGAAAAAGGCACCAGCAGCAATGCTATCTATCAAACAGTGTTGACACCATTCCCCAACATCATCAACAATCAAGAGTCAAAATGTTCAACATATTTCAAAATTGTGGATGGCTATGAATAGTATTGTATCATATTGTATCCCATGGGAAGCAGGATATCAAACTGGGGATTGCAAAATACATAAAATACAACCTGGCAAAGCGGCAAAATGATGCAAAATGGATCTTTACAAACCCCCGCACCTTGCTCTTGCACAAGCGGCTGTACAACTCGCAGCTACAAAGCTCCATGACAAGCCACACATCACGGCTACTTTCATAGGCATATAGGAGCCTGCAAATATTTGGATGGTCCAATCTCAAATATACTTCCACTTCACTTTTCAGCAGCTTCAGTCGGTGCGGTTTGAGACCATGTTTGCTGAACTGCTTTACAGCGACTCGTTGTCTGGTGACTTTGTGCTCTGCGAGATGCACAGCACCTGAATAGCCCGTCCCCAGGCCTTTGGCTTGATGTCGAAGTCCCTCGTGATCTCCGCGTGCACGATCCGACAAGTCAGAGGAAACGAGGTCAGCAAGGGGTCTTGATCCGGGACGATGCTTTCGCCGCTGTGCTTGGCACTCCGGTTACCCATGTGTGGCTTCAAGCGACCGCTTCGCAGTTTGTAGAAATGCACACTCACCCAAACTAGTGAAAGTGCGGCTGTTTGAACGTTGAACCTGTTTGAAACTAGTACTCAAGTCACGCTTGTCACGCTGATGTGGCTTGGTTTATCTTCTTTTGTGCTACCCTGGTCAGGGGGATGATGTTGTGGAGTCTGCCATATTTCTTGGCTAGTTCTGTTTCGACCTGGCCAAAGCCGAGGGCAAACAATCATGCTTCCAGGGGTCAGTTTAAGGTGCTGGATTTCGAATCCGAAGTCAAAACTCAGGGATGTCAATGGATGTCATAGCCAGGACAAAAGAAGGAAGATCTGGGAGAGTAGTAAACAAGCTAGTGGGCTAATAAAAGTTCATTGATATTAGATCGGACTTGAAGCCCAGGCGTACTGTACATGGCAAAATCCAGCACCATGGCTTTAATTTAAGCCCTGGAATTCCACGACAGTATATATATATAATTGTTCCTAAATGTTCCGAATCATTCCATGAAATTCAGGCAATTGCAGTTTTCTCTCCCATATTTCGTCTGAACCACAGTTAAGTTCTGATGGAATTCTGACATTCAGCCTATTTTGGCCTTACAGTAGCTGTCCCTCAAAGTCATTGAGATTCATTGAGATTGAGTGCCCAACATGCCAAGCGTTTAGGGCCGGCCTCGCACCAAACATTGTTGTTAGATGTGGCTTGTCGAACGCATATCATACATAGATATCTAGTGTGTGTGTGTGTGTGCATGTGTGTGCTACAAAGTGTTACAAACATACATAATATGCGGACCCATAAAATGTATGCTTTACATGACTTCAAACATCTGTCGTCTGCTGACATGCTGCTGACCAAAGCGTGTGACACGCTGCGCACACCCCATATGCGTATGTTCATCTGGACTCATTTGGCTTCCATGTCTGCCTGATCAGGACTTGCAAGCAGGGCTCAACAGCAATCCGTGGCAGGCGGTTGATGTTCAAATGCACAAAGGGTACCTGGCTGTGCAAAGGGCCCCTGGACACCCCATCATTGACCCCACAGCTTCGTTCGGGACCTCTACGCCATGGCACGAAACTGTGTCCCGAAAATGGGCCCTCAATAGGGAGAGATTGATAGAAGTCACCGGAAGATATCGGAAGTTTGGAAGGCAATGCCCCACAACTGGGATCAACTGGGCACTCCATAGGTCCCCTGAGCCATCGACCTGGCTGCGAAAGGTTGGGACACCCACCGCTTACCCTCCGGTGTCATCATGGCCATGGATAGCTGGGAAATATTTGGAAATCCCCGAACTAAATGGAGGCTTCGATGGGAAATCATCGAACTATAGCTCGGGGATTTTCCAGCAAGCCATGTTTGATCACTAGAGGGTAATTGTTGACTGAACTGATGATGCTGGGAGACTCTTCAGTGTTTTCTGTGGCTAAATCCCACCAAGAGATCTTGGTGGATCCAAATTTTCGTTGCCCTGAGCCATCCTCCCTGAGCTACCTCAGCACGTCGTCTAACATCCTTTCATTGGTGTGGTCGAAAGGAGAACCATGAAGAAACATGACCTCAGAAACTAAAAGTCTGATCAAACAGAACAAAGCTTGGACAACTGAAGAGAGCAGTATGCTCAGAAGCTGTGGTCCGGGCAAAATCGGCATTCCTCCAGGCCTTTGACATGCAGTAGTGCCTCAATTATTCACCAAAGCTCAGTGAGTTTGCAGATGTTCGAATCGGAGCTGGAAACCTTCGACCAGTATCCAGAATCTGCTTTCTTTGCTTTCACAGCTCCAAAAATACATATATGAGGTGGCTGCACATAAGCCACATTTTCAAATCCTTCTGGCTCCTTCAACTCGATCACAACACTTCCTCACACCAGCCATGGATTGTTTCCAGGTTTTCATTGCAGCCATCGCCTTAACTTAACTCAGCCCATGTCATGGCTCCTGGATGAATGACCTCAATGTCGCGCAGATCATCCAGCAATTGCTGCCCAGAAAGACCACTCGGACCTGGCTCCGCAGCTCCCGCAGTTGATGCCTGGTGGCTCCCTAGTCACTGCGGGCTGTTTGATGCTGGTGACATCTGGTGACCTGTGTAACAAGGACGAACATTGGACTATTTCATGTTAAGAATACCATGAATACCCAAAATATGATGTTCTTGAAGAAATTAGAAAGATCTGATTCGCAAAAAAGCTTGGTCGTCTTTGCCACTGGTTTTTTTTTTGTCGAACCCCCTTCTTGTTTTCTCAACAGCGTCCCCTCTCTTTAGCCCTCATCCATTCTCCAACCAGCCTCCGGCACCAGGCATTTCTCGTAAATCACCAAGCGCACCTGTAAACCAGGCACCTCTGGGGTCCATTCATCTCGCAGAATTCGCTTCAACCATTCCATCACCCAACGAAGATCTTCCCCACATCTGACGATCAACACATCCACCAAGGGCCTTTGCACTGGAACACCGCCAAAGACCGAACCTCCCAGCTGTTGCAACATCAGACAGGGTTCGAGATGCTGAGAGCGTTCGCTGGCACAACGAACCACTTGGCTACGAGCATGTAGGATTCCTTGGAACCGTTCCATGGCCGTGCTCAGGGGCTCGAAGCTACTGAAGTGAGACATCATCTCATCTACCGTTTCCACGGTCCCAACTCGACTGTGCACCTCCCAGGTGTGCTGAAAATATTTCAGCAAAACCGCCGGTGGCACCAACATAACCATGTATTCTGCGAAGAGGTAACTGCACAACAGGACCATCGCAGAGCATTGCAACTCCATCAATGCACTACCAGACATCACCTGATTGGTATTGTTTCAACCCATCTGAAAACTATGCTTGTCATTCGGGTCTCCGTCACCCCAACATCCCCAACTATGGCACATAGAAACGCTTCAAACCACCAACCAGTCACATTGTTTTTCAAGGTCGTGGGTACTGCAGCGATCAAAGTCAGCAACCAGACGTCCTCCATGGGAGGGGGCCCTCCACTGTGATAGAACTGAAGCGCGCGATGCTGGAAGCCAGTTCCATCAAAGATCCACAAGAGATGCTCATCCTGGGGAGTAAAATCGATCCAGGGCTGTGGATGAAATCGGGTCCAGGGTTGGAATAAAAGAGTACAATGGTTTTCACCCACAGCCCTCCCATACGTTCTGAGTGTCCTGTCTTTGGGATTCTAACTTGACAGGTTTTTCCCTGCACCCTCTCCTTCCGTTCCAGGTTGGTGTATTCACCGCTCAGGCGCTCGTTTTCCACACCCATCACTGGCAGTGGCAAAAACATACCTCCTTCTATTCCAGATTTGGCGGGAATTCGCATGAATCGAAAGCCACAAACCAGTCGTGGAGTCAGCCACGAGTGATCCCACACGCTCATCTGAGTATGCCCTGCTTCCCACCACGCTTCCCATTCCTTCTGCAGGTTCTCTGCTGCTGACAAGCCACATGCCAGGTGCAAAGCCAAGAAGCAATGCTTCATCTGATAGCCAGTCTTCCGAGTCTACCTCCTGTCCTTCCATTCTGCACAAACATCAAAAAATAACTACTCAAAGTTTGGTTGTGCCAAGGCTCGGAAGTCTTGTCAGGTCAATAGCTCCACAGGTTTATATGTTATTGCCTTTAGCTGCATGGAGTAAACAGAGTGAAAGTTGATTTGGACAGTCTCTAGAGCTTTTTTAGATCTCTTGAATCGATGAAGATTTGGACAAAGCACCTTCTGCGGCTGAATCTGAAGTGGAAGAGTTGCATTTTGCCAGTAAGCTTGCATATATCCATTGGCAGAACAAGTCGAAAGGTTTTGTTGCTGTCACTGTCCACATTCGTTGTTGCTCTAACTTTCAACCCTTGGCCCGGGAGAGCCAACAGCTTCGACTTTCGGATGTTAGAGGTACATAGGTACCTCATAAAGTGCACTGCAGGTGTTGCAACACGTGCTGCCCTTTACAGTCAGGCATCAGGATGCGAGCAAGCAGCAGCTCCTGTTTTGTCTTGCATCAAAAAACTAGAAGGCCACATTTAAGATGTGATAATCTGCGAATTGGTTGCACCAAATTCATCGAAATGTGCTTGTCAGATCTTGTCAGCATCTCTCAACTTTAGCGGCTGGGTAGGATTCTACTTTCGTGATCAAAATATATATAATAGTACATATAATTAATCTTACTGTATGATAATGTATGATATATCTATTATTATCTATTTACACATTCAAACATGTCTTTCTTGAATTGCAAAACACCGCCCTCAGGTCACTTTCTGCGAAACTCCAAGTCAAGGCCCAATGAGACCGAGCGTTCCAATCGTTCCAAAGCCGAAGTTGTCGCATCAAACCTGGACAAACGGGCAAGAAGTGGGGGTTTCCATCAATGGGGGTATCCCTAAATGGATGGTTTATAATGGAAAATGCCAGCTTGTGCCCACTTGTCTGGAATTTCCAATTCCCACAGGTCCCACAAGCTGCCATTTTAAGGCGTTCACTTACAAAGTTGCAGCAGGATGCAGCAAAGTCCTTCGAAGTGACACTTTGTTTTCGACCGATAAGACAAGCTGAGCAGTGCTCCTTGGAAGCTCAAACAGCTCTTTACACCCGCCCATGTCTTCTTTGTGCAAGTGTCGGAAAACGGTCAACTGCAAGGGTGCAAAACAACGCAAAAAGTGGCTCATTGGCAAAGTTGTACCAAATCACCAGGAAGATCACGCAAAAGTCGCAGTGTCGATGACGAAGCGATATTTCACATCAGACTTCACAGCCCGCTCATAGGCTGCGTTCACCTTCTCAGGATCGGCAGGGATCACCTCATGAGGGCAGGTGATACCGTGCTTGGCACAGAAGTCCAACATCTCCTGTGTCTCTTTGATGCCTCCAATCAATGACCCTGCAATCGTCTTTCTTGGAACAGCCAATTGGAAAGCATGGAAGCTCAAAGGATTGGGGGGTACGCCGACAAGAATTTGCTTGCCGTTGTAGGTGAGCATGTCCATGTAAGGAGCAAGATCATGGTCAGCTGCAATAGTGTTGATCATGAAGTCAAAGTAGCTTTTCACTGTCGCTGCATCAGCCTCATCAGTGACTACCACAAACTTGTCAGCCTTCAGTTCTTTCAGTGCCTCATCTCTCTTTGATGGAGAGCGAGACAGAACGGTCACTTCAGCACCCATGGCCTTGCCGATCAACACAGCCATCGCACCCAAACCACCCAGTCCGGCAACTGCCAATTTCATGCCTGGCTTCAATCCATAGTACATGAAGGGTGAGTACACAGTGATGCCTGCACAAAGCAACGGAGCAGCACCAGCTAGGTCCATGCCATCCGGAATCTTGCAAACATAGTTTTGATCCACCACAATGCCTTGCGAGTATCCGCCATAGGTGGGTGCGCCGCCTTCATCATTGTACTCCTCGCAATGCTGGTACTTGTGCTTGCCATTGTAGGTCATAATTGCACCAGTCTGGCAGTAGTTCTCATCGCCAGCTTTGCACGACGGGCAGTTTCGGCAACTGTCCACCATGCAACCAACACCCACCTTGTCTCCGACCTTGTACTTGGTCACTTCATCACCAACAGCAACCACCTCGCCAGCGATCTCGTGACCAGGCACCATTGGGAAAATGGCCTTGCCCCATTCTTCTCGTGCTTGGTGGATGTCAGAGTGGCAAATGCCTGCGTATTTGATGCTAATCTGCACGTCCTTCTTTCCTACTGGCCGGCGGGTGATGGTGTGCAACGTCAAGGGGGCACCACCGCTCATGGCCGCGATGCATTTGCAGGGAAGAGCCTCATTTGCAGCGACACCGTAGCCGTTACCAGACATGGCTGCAATTCACGCAAGAAATGCAGAAGGGGAACCTGGAAGATTGATTCAACGATCGACCTACAAGTAGCTGCGGAAAAGTCGTTGTCATCACAACAAACCTTTGTCACATCAACAGCGGGTGGTTTAAAGATGTTTAAAGGTATTTTGACAAGAAGCCTAGCCATGTACACACTTGCAAGAAGTAACTTGCGCCGACTTGTCTGGAACTGACAAAGTTGCAGCAGGATGCAGCAGCAAAGTCCTTGCAAGTGACACTTTGTTTTCGACCTGAACTGATAACTTTGCTTAGTAACTGTCCCTGTACCGATAAGACAAGCTGAGCAGTGCTCCTTGGAAGCTCAAACAGCTCTTTACACCCGCCCATGTCTTCTTTGTGCAAGTGTCGGAAAACGGTAACTGCAAGGGTGCAAAACAACGCAAAAAGTGGCTCATTGGCAAAGTTGTACCAAATCACCAGGAAGATCACGCAAAAGTCGCAGTGTCGATGACGAAGCGATATTTCACATCAGACTTCACAGCCCGCTCATAGGCTGCGTTCACCTTCTCAGGATCGGCAGGGATCACCTCATGAGGGCAGGTGATACCGTGCTTGGCACAGAAGTCCAACATCTCCTGTGTCTCTTTGATGCCTCCAATCAATGACCCTGCAATCGTCTTTCTTGGAACAGCCAATTGGAAAGCATGGAAGCTCAAAGGATTGGGGGGTACGCCGACAAGAATTTGCTTGCCATTGTAGGTGAGCATGTCCATGTAAGGAGCAAGATCATGGTCAGCTGCAATAGTGTTGATCATGAAGTCAAAGTAGCTTTTCACTGTCGCTGCATCAGCCTCATCAGTGACTACCACAAACTTGTCAGCCTTCAGTTCTTTCAGTGCCTCATCTCTCTTTGATGGAGAGCGAGACAGAACGGTCACTTCAGCACCCATGGCCTTGCCGATCAACACAGCCATCGCACCCAAACCACCCAGTCCGGCAACTGCCAATTTCATGCCTGGCTTCAATCCATAGTACATGAAGGGTGAGTACACAGTGATGCCTGCACAAAGCAACGGAGCAGCACCAGCTAGGTCCATGCCATCCGGAATCTTGCAAACATAGTTTTGATCCACCACAATGCCTTGCGAGTATCCGCCATAGGTGGATGCGCCGCCTTCATCATTGTACTCCTCGCAATGTTGGTACTTGTGCTTGCCATTGTAGGTCATAATTGCACCAGTCTGGCAGTAGTTCTCATCGCCAGCTTTGCACGACGGGCAGTTTCGGCAACTGTCCACCATGCAACCAACACCCACCTTGTCTCCGACCTTGTACTTGGTCACTTCATCACCAACAGCAACCACCTCGCCAGCGATCTCGTGACCAGGCACCATTGGGAAAATGGCCTTGCCCCATTCTTCTCGTGCTTGGTGGATGTCAGAGTGGCAAATGCCTGCGTATTTGATGCTAATCTGCACGTCCTTCTTTCCTACTGGCCGGCGGGTGATGGTGTGCAACGTCAAGGGGGCACCACCGCTCATGGCCGCGATGCATTTGCAGGGAAGAGCCTCATTTGCAGCGACACCGTAGCCGTTACCAGACATGGCTGCAATTCACGCAAGAAATGCAAAGGGGAACCTGGAAGATTGATTCAACGATCGACCTACAAGTAGCTGCGGAAAAGTCGTTGTCATCACAACAAACCTTTGTCACATCAACATCTGGTGGTTCAAAGGTTTTTTGGCAAGTCTGGTCATGTACACACTTGCAAGAAGTAGGGTTTCCATAATCATGGTATCCCCAAATGGATAGTTTATAATGGAAAATCCCATCAAAATGGATGTGCCCACTTGTCTGGAACTTCCCATTTCCACATCCCCAAGCTGCGAACTCAAAGTCCGGCAAAGTGGATCCGGCCATACTCAGTGTTCGACTCCTCGGAACATGCGAAGGCATGGAAAATGACACCATGGTAAATGTAAATCGTCTAAAATCGAAGAATTGGTCATTTTCTACATAGCTGTGTCAAACTACCAAAGCGTATCAGGCAAGATTGGTTGACTCACCAAAAAGTCATGGTGTTTACAACATTTTACAACCATGTAAATGATCAATTAAAAAATGTCAGAATCAATCGTTCTGAGAGATTGGTTGATCAATATATTCAATATGGTATATAGAGCCAACTTCCAGATCCTTTTGGATTCACGAATTGCTGCCAGACACTTCAAGCTCTGCTGGCGCCTGCCCAGTAGCTTGTTGGTGGATTCACTGCTAGATGCACCTGTCAAGGGGATAGGACCGGATAGGAGGTGAAACGCATTCAGCAGTTAGCTGTGGAGTGTTCCCATCACTGCTCAACAGGGCTGGTTTGCTGCCGATGCTGCTGGTTCGAAGGGAATGGCAGCAGTGGTCCGCCAAGGGCTGCTTCTGCCAGGCAATTGGCAGCACGAAGGAGAGACTGTAAAAGGATTCTAGAGGATTGGAAAGCTGCGGTCAGCACCAACAGAAACTGAACAGGAAAGCGGCTACCCGGTTGTCTGGTGTATAACTCCATCAAACAGCAAACATACACAATAGCAACACTCCAATTCCTCTGCTCCCAGTGGGTAAAATGAAGCGCTAGAGAATAATGCATAGCTCAACCACTGTTTTCGAATCTATATACATGGCACTTGCCACAAGTCCCAAGATGTTCGAATGACCAAACTGCCAGCTGCTGCCTGAGACTCCCCTTGCACTATCTCAACCTGGCTGGAGCCACTCGACAGCGGGGTCCACAACATGTCCACAACTGCAGCTCATAAACCCCTGGCCTCGTGGTTGTCAATGACACATTTCTGGTCGCCTTGAAATTCAAGAATTGGTGTGTCTGAAAATAGGGTACCGAGTGGTACCCCTAAATTCGCTGGTGAGTCATTATTCTCCCCATTTGGGGGTATCATGACCTCATTTTCAAATACCCCGAAATGGTCGCGACCACAAGCTGCGGACATTGCTCCCCACAGCCAGAACAGAAGGCCTTCCACAGAGCCGCGGGTCACCATTCCGACTTCAATCGTTTGGGTTGATAAATGTCCTAAACATCACCCAGTTAAAAAATACTAAAAAGGGAATGTCCAACAGATCCATTTTCAGGTAATGTTCAAGATCCCCAAAACAGGGGGGCATTTACCAACCCCTGTTCAGAAATTTCCATGGATTCTATCCCCCAATTTCGGAGGGTTACTGCCGATTTTCTCTTGGACGAAAGTGTGACCACTTTCGAAAGAAGTAAGAAATCATGATCATCATCAATGATAGTCGTGGATTTCTCTGAAAACGTCGTTTTTTTTAAATGTTCCCAATGTTCCCCATTAGATTTTCGTGGCTTTCAATAGGCCCTTTATGGAACTTTTTCGGGACCATGGAGCCTCCAGCTCCTGGCATCGTTTCAGCAGGCGCTCCGCCATGGGGACACCCGAAGCGCGGGTCTCTGTCTCAGAGGGCCCAGATCATCCCAGGGAAGAAACGTCGTTCTGAAATGCCTAGACACCAACTATATCACCAACTGATCTTCCTGGTGAGTTGATTATGTTGATTAAAATAAAATTGATTTTAACATATCAAAATAATTCATAAAATATCTGATCCTCCTCCTCATGATAAAATGCCGTGGATACTCGATAGATGCAAGTCGACACTCCCATCAAAAGTCATCCATGGAGGTGATAGACATTGCTCCCTTGGCTATTTAGCCAAGCGGTTTACACTATGGGTATGTCTGAAAATGGGGTATACCCCCAATTATAGCCATTTAGTAGGGATAATGATCATTAACCATTGGGTGTAGGGGTACACTATTTTCAGACAAACCCCTATCAGAGCAAAAAGTCAGCCTTCAGTGAAGATGCTGATTTCACGTGAGTCCTTTTGCTCCAAACGAAAGTTTCTTATCTGGATTCTGGATTGTCAAAATTGAAGGTACACAAAATGCACCAAACCGCAAGCATTTTGGCAGGGCTTTGCGCTGCACTCACTTTGTACCAGTATCGGCTAGAATGGTGAAAGCAGAGGTTCTAGACATTTTAGGCAGGAACGAGGATAACCAACACATTGGCAGTGCTAAAGGATGTTTCTTGCGACTCTGGAAAAAATTGTTGCCTCTTTTCAAAAAGACATGTCGCCGATGTCGCCTCAGGTTTGGGAAAACTTTGAAGCGAAGAAACGGTTTAAAAGAAAGACGGCTCTGGCTTTCGGGATCAGTTCGTATTCCTCGGCCGTCCAAGCTGCTGAGCAAGGTTTTGCGACTCGTGGCATCATGGCATCATTCCTTTGCTTCTTGAACAGTATTGTGCTGTACATGTAGATACATGTAGTATACGTGAATAATACAATTCAATGTAAGTCAATACAAGTCATAAGATGTCATAAGATGTCATAAGTATCAAAACTATTGAGCACTCGAGACTTGGGGCGCTTGGGAATTGAGCTTTTTGGTTGATTCTTGGGCCCCGAGTCTGAGATCCACGCAGCATCAGTGGTATCTGTCACAGGATTCCATTTGTACTTAGGAATCTCAACTTATTGGGGAAAGAAACATTGAGACAAACCATACCCAAGATTATCCAAGTCAGTATAGTACTATAATGTACTATAATGTACTATAATGTACTATAATGTACTATAATGTACTATAATGTACTATAATGTACTATAATGTACTATAATGTACTATAATGTACTATAATGTACTATAATGTACTACAAGAAATGGATCAAAATGGGACATTTTTTTTGACCCAAAAAAACCTCCACCCTGTGTTTTTTTCATCGACTCCAAGGCTCGAGAGATCTGTGCAGCTCTCCTGCGTAAGTTGATGAACTGTTTCAGGTATGATGAGAACATCACAAATATAGGTCTTATATGGTCTTATATGGTCTTATGTTTACATCCATTGAATTTAAATCTTATGTTATCAATGTTTACGTCTAGAACTATAGAATTCAGAAAATCCAAATAATCAACAAACGCTTTTCATTCAGCCTTGCACAAATTACTGGAAAATTAATTAAGGGGCGCGGCGAACAAGTCTTACCTTCAACACTGGTACAGCCATCATGGACCCTACGGCTGATCATCTGCGCTGATTTAAAGTTGGGGCTCCGAAGCTGGTCGCAAATGAGGACATACACTCAACAACTGTAGTCATAGATACGGCAGTGGGTCAAAACCCTGGTACCTAGTGAACCCCAAAATAGCTGGGATTTATGGATGTTCATCCCACTAAAAATGGTATGTATAGGTATTGATCCATACCCATAGGGGTCTGATACATTGGCACCAATGGGCGTCCTTGACTCGCTTCACCATGGCAACTTCGCACTCGCGAATCCACTTGCGTGGGTCGTAGTAGCCTCGGGGTTTTGAGGGTACGGTACAACGAGTTGACATCACACTCATCACACCATCTAATTATCATGAAATAGCCGACAGGATGGGAATGTACATGTTTACATCCAGATGATGCCATAATACATGTAATACTCGGAGGCAAATACTATATTGTCTATATTATTATACCTCCATGTTACATCCATTTTATACCTCCACACACTCTCAAACACGGGCGTCTCAGACAACTATGGCGGCCAGGAAGTTCCGAACAAAAGAAGGCATCGCTGGTCAACATCTGCGGAGCACCATGTGCGACCCGGCGTTCTATCTGAGATCTTATCTGACATATTTCCGACATACTATCTGACATTTTATCTCACATATAGGTGTAAATATATTATATATGGCATATATTCTGCCATTCTATATCCCATGTGACATATATATATATAATATTCTGTCATTCTATGTGACATATTATTCTTCCATTCTATCTGGCATTTCGCTGGCATTCTATTCGGCAATCTATCTGACATTCTATTTTCTGACATTCTATTTGGCAGGCTCTCTGACATTCTATCTGGAATTACACCTGACTTTCCATCTGACATATAGTCTGAAATATTCTGAAATGTTCTGCCATTCTATCTGGTATCTGGCATCCTACAGTATCTGACATTTTATCTGAACTTTCCGGCGTTCAATCTCGCAACAAGTACCTCGCTATCATCGTCTTTGGGCCTTCGCCCCCCCACCCCAGAGAGCTGGAGCTCATCATCCCCAGTGGCAGCAAAGCTTTGCCAAGCAGCTCTTGTTTGGCTTGTCCTCTCCTTCTGGGTTGCCAATCTGGCCCTGCAGGTAGCCTCGGTAGCGGCCAGGTCACGCTGTTGTACGGGACACCGCTTGGCGGGTTGGGGTCCAGCCAGAAATAAAACGTGCCAGCTGAGAAAGACGCCCTCCTTGTTTTTGTAGAACTTCAACAGGCCTTCCCAGTAGGCCCACTGCCTTGGCTTCAGCTTGAGCTTAGCATAGCATCTCTCAATGCCTCTCATGATCGTTGCCAGGGTCCTCACGTGTCGGTGTCCACGTTCATCTTCACCACTCCGGCATTCAGGGCCTGCAACATGCACTCGTGCTGCAGTCTCCAGACCCAAAAGCAAGCACATAAAGATCAAACAAGAACAATTTTGTTGGACATTCTACGTTGCAAGCTGCCAATCCCTTGGGCATGACACCGTTGTAATGTGGTGCTTCTCGGATCCAGAGCCACCGTGGAACACAAAGTTCAGAGGCCTCATAGGTATTGGCACATGTACATGCAAGATAGCGCTGCAGATCCATGCTTCAACGCACACAATGCTGCGCCTCTCGATGTCCTTGCCGGTAGATGCCTTGATCTGCTCGCGGGCGTAGTCTTGCATCTCCTTTCGACACATTCAATCGGAGTTGCAAAGCTTTCCAGAAACTTGGGCTGGATCATGTCTCGAAAAAAGAACGGAACGACTTTGATTTTGAAAAGTATCCACTTCATCCATGTTCGATGTGAAGAATCTGGGGTGGTCCTGCAGAATCTCGGGCTTCAGCACCACGTTTCCAGCCTTGTAGACACCGTGGACGTTGCCGAAGGCTGCAGCGATGGTGAACCTTGATATACCCGGCGGAGGAAAACTAGGTGCAATGACAGTAATCACACACTGCACCGCCTCAGTCACACACACTCGGCTATATCAAATAGCTGCCATGCCATGCCATGCCTACTGCTGGGTGGGGCACATGTGAGAAATTGGGTTGAGGCCCTTGTAGACGTTGAACACGTCCTCCGGAGTGGAGTACAGCTTCTCCTGGCAATGAGTTTCCGGAAGGATGCACCGACACAGGAACAGAGAACTGAAACTTCGGATGTGATGTTTCTACTAAAAAAAGGGTGGCTTCCCATACTTTTTGTTACTTAGCTATGGAGTGTTGAAAATCAGGTTTCTTACACTTTTCCTTGGAGACCTTTACGTCACCTTTACGCATAGCTAACGGCGCGACCTTGGCAGCTCCGCTGTTGTCAACACCATCTTCCACGCCACCGGTGATGCCAATCTCCATTTCCTGAGTGAAGTGGGTCTCACATGTGCCCGGGGTACCTCTGATATTTCAACAAGTGTATTGCAGGTTGACTGTTCGTGGCAAGTTGAAGTTCAAGCTGAGTTTCCAGAATCATTTTCATTGGTGCCATGCGCTTCAAGTACCTCGCAAATAGTGACAGGTCTGCACAGAAATGATGACATTGAACAGATGCGAGGCACTTGGCGCAAATCTCAATGTTCTCCTCATCTGGTTCCTCAGACCTCGATTCAATGGGTCTGTAGTCTGTAGGGTGACAAATCGAACCAAATATCTACACATTCAAACAACAGACACCTCTTGAGATGCTTTCTGCTTAACAGTGACTGTGAAAGAAACAACTTTGCAAATACAGCCAGATTTGGTGGTTGAGTGCACTGCAAATCCAACATGTGGGAAGAGAACAGAGGCTCTCCATGCTCTTTGAAAAATGCCTCGTCCGCCTCCAACATACCTTGGTTCAGACAGCAAGTTCTAATACAAAGGTCTGCTGAAAGCCTTCAACCAAGGCATCTTAAAATTCAGGAATGAACTAACAGCGTGTGGGTTTTGGATCCAAATGACAAATGTTGGATAGTTGAGTTGAATACTGCCATAATTTTCAGACCCATTGGGTCCCCAACTTCCCCCCAAATCCACAGCAGTCCCAGCAGTCCCAGGGGCCATCGAACCAGGGCAGGAGTTTCTTGGCACAGTGGTCTGAGTGCACTAGCACCTGGCAGGCCCAAAGTTCTTGTCTTCCTGAAATTGAACGCTTCCCCAACATAAAATGGTCCTGAACGATGGTAAGCCTATGCCAATCTATGCCATCTGGGCCCGAAAATGAGATGTTGGAGCACCCCATGGGAAATGTCATAAGACTTGAGCCGTGAAAAATACCCCTAGCTACTCCATGTTATGGGTCAAAATGTTATCCTCAATAAAAATGGCGATGAGTCAAAACCATGTAACCCCGGTGAATCAAAATAGTTGGGATCGATGGATGTCCATCCACATGATTATAATTATATTTGTATGATGATTGATCCGCAACCATATGTATCATATGTGCCATGATGAAAACATGGTATCGGTTATGGTCATCCCGCTCATATTTGGCATCCAAAAATGGGTACATAATTCCCTATTCATGGATTGATGACCAATCCCTTTTATAGAAAAACAAACCATGTTCCTTTGACCATGGCACATATACTAACATAGACCAACCTATTCATTTTGTAACCAACAAATAGTGTATAAAATTCTTCAAAATGCATGGCTCAAAACCTCCCTGCCGCTGCAACGGGTATGCCAAGCATGTCCGGGCTCGCTGGAATGCCATAGGCTGGCGCCACGGCGCGTGCAAAGTGAGCACCTGCAACGGCTCCAAGGATAGAGGCCTGCCAGCAATGGAGAGGTGGAGCCTGTGATAACCATACCATATAAACAAATAAACAAATACAGTAAACAAATACACCTATCTACCTAGCTACCTAGCCAACCTATCTACCTAGCTACCTAGCTAACCTATCTACCTAGCTACCTAGCTAACCTATCTACCTAGCTACCTAGCTAACCTATCTACCTAGCTAACCAATCTACCTAGCTAACCTGTCTACCTAGCTACCTAGCTAACCAATCTACCTAGCTAACCTATCTACCTAGCTAACCTATCTACCTATCTACCTAGCTACCTAGCTAACCTATCTACCTAGCTAACCTATCTACCTAGCTACCTAGCTAACCTATCTACCTAGCTACCTAGCTAACCACCTATCTACCTAGCTAACCTATCTACCTAGCTACCTAGCTAACCCTATCTACCTAGCTACCTAGCTAACCTATCTACCTAGCTAACCAATCTACCTAGCTAACTTGTCTACCTAGCTAACCTGTCTACCTAGTTAACCTATCTACCTATCTACCTAGCTACCTAGCTAACCTATCTACCTAGCTAACCTATCTACCTAGCTAACCTCTACCTAGCTAACCTGTCTACCTAGCTACCTAGCTAACCAATCTACCTAGCTAACCTATCTACCTAGCTACCTAGCTACCTAGCTAACCAATCTACCTAGCTAACCTATCTACCTAGCTACCTAGCTAACCAATCTACCTAGCTAACCTATCTACCTATCTACCTAGCTACCTAGCTAACCAGTCTACCTAGCTAACCTATCTACCTAGCTACCTAGCTACCTAGCTAACCAATCTACCTAGCTAGCCTATCTACCTAGCTACCTAGCTAACCTATCTACCTAGCTAACCTATCTACCTAGTTAACCTATCTACCTAGTTAACCTAGCTACCTAGCTACCTAGCTAACCTATCTACCTAGCTACCTAGCTAACCAATCTACCTAGCTAACCTATCTACCTAGTTAACCTACCTACCTAGTTAACCTAGCTACCTAGCTACCTAGCTAACCTATCTACCTAGCTACCTAGCTAACCAATCTACCTAGCTAACCTATCTACCTAGCTAACCAATCTACCTAGCTAACCTATCTACCTAGCTACCTAGCTAACCAATCTACCTAGCTAACCTGTCTACCTAGCTACCTAGCTAACCTATCTACCTAGCTAACCAATCTACCTAGTTAACCTATCTACCTAGCTAACCTATCTACCTATCTACCTAGCTACCTAGCTAACCTATCTACCTAGTTAACCTATCTACCTATCTACCTAGCTACCTAGCTAACCTATCTACCTAGCTAACCTATCTACCTAGTTAACCTATCTACCTAGTTAACCTAGCTACCTAGCTAACCTATCTACCTAGCTAACCAATCTACCTAGCTAACCTATCTACCTATCTACCTAGCTACCTAGCTAACCTATCTACCTAGCTACCTAGCTAACCAATCTACCTAGCTAACCTATCTACCTAGCTACCTAGCTAACCTGTCTACCTAGCTAACCTATCTACCTATCTACCTAGCTACCTAGCTACCTAGCTAACCTGTCTACCTAGCTAACCTATCTACCTAGCTAACCTATCTACCTATCTACCTAGCTACCTAGCTAACCTATCTACCTAGCTCCCTAGCTAACCTAGCTACCTAGCTAACCAATCTACCTAGCTAACCTAGGTACCTAGCTAACCTATCTACCTAGTTAACCTATCTACCTATCTACCTAGCTACCTAGCTAACCTATCTACCTAGCTAACCTACCTGCCTAGTTAACCTATCTACCTATCTACCTAGCTACCTAGCTAACCTATCTACCTAGCTAACCTATCTACCTAGCTAACCTAGCTACCTAGCTACCTAGCTACCTAGCTAACCTGTCTACCTAGCTAACCTATCTACCTAGTTAACCTACCTACCTAGTTAACCTAGCTACCTAGGTAACCTGTCTACCTTGCTAACCAATCTACCTAGCTAACCTATCTACCTAGCTACCTAGCTACCTAGCTAACCTGTCTACCTAGGTAACCTATCTACCTAGTTAACCTATCTACCTATCTACCTAGCTACCTAGCTAACCTATCTACCTAGCTAACCTATCTACCTAGTTAACCTATCTACCTATCTACCTAGCTACCTAGCTAGCCTATCTACCTAGCTAACCTATCTACCTAGCTAACAATCTACCTATTAACACTATCTAACTATATTACCTAGCTACCTAGCTAACCAATCTACCTAGCTAACCTTTCTACCTAGTTAACCTATCTACCTAGTTAACCTAGCTACCTAGCTACCTAGCTAACCTATCTACCTAGCTACCTAGCTAACCAATCTACCTAGCTAACCTATCTACCTAGTTAACCTACCTACCTAGTTAACCTAGCTACCTAGCTAACCTATCTACCTAGCTACCTAGCTAACCAATCTACCTAGCTAACCTATCTACCTAGCTACCTAGCTAACCAATCTACCTAGCTAACCTATCTACCTAGCTACCTAGCTAACCAATCTACCTAGCTAACCTATCTACCTATCTACCTAGCTACCTAGCTAACCAATCTACCTAGCTAACCTATCTACCTAGCTACCTAGCTAACCAATCTACCTAGCTACCTAGCTAACCTATCTACCTAGCTACCTAGCTAACCTATCTACCTAGCTAACCAATCTACCTAGCTAACCTGTCTACCTAGCTAACCTGTCTACCTAGTTAACCTATCTACCTATCTACCTAGCTACCTAGCTAACCTGTCTACCTAGCTAACCTAGCTACCTAGCTAACCTACCTACCTAGTTAACCTAGCTACCTAGCTAACCTGTCTACCTATCTACCTAGCTACCTAGCTAACCTATCTACCTAGCTAACCTATCTACCTAGTTAACCTATCTACCTAGCTAACCTATCTACCTGTCTACCTAGCTAACCTATCTACCTATCTACCTAGCTAACCTATCTACCTAGCTAACCTATCTACCTAGCTAACCTATCTACCTAGCTAACCTGTCTACCTAGCTAACCTGTCTACCTAGCTAACCTATCTACCTAGCTAACCTATCTACCTAGCTAACCTATCTACCTAGCTAACCTATCTACCTATTTACCTAGCTAACCTGTCTACCTAGCTACCTAGCTACCTTGCTACCTATCTACAGTACCTAGCCAACCTATCTACTTAGCTAACCTATCTACCTATCTCTCTGTCTGTTTGTCTGCCTGCCTGCCCGTCTGTCCGTCTCTTTCTTTCTTTCGTTCTATCTATCTATCTATCCATCTATCTGAATGGATAGATGCGAAACAATGTAAGTCTTCGAGGATTCGAATGTTTACATGTGAAGCATTGCATTGCATTGCGTTGTGTGACGTTACGTTACATTATTTATATTATACTACCTTACGTGACATTACGTTATGTACAAACATACATGCCATATATATATATATATATGTATTCTGTAGCGAGCATGAAACCTTACTTTAGTATCTTCTGCAAGGAAAACATGTCTTGAGTCTTGACCATGTTTGGTCTGCCAATGTTAAAATGTTCTTTGTTTAGGCAATTTCGCCCGCCTAAGTTTCACCCTTCTTTGATTGAAGTTGTTGGCTTGTTGCGCACAGTTGAATATGATCGCTAGGTAGAAGACCATTGAATCCAGATCGTGTCTGCACGTCCTTGTTTGCGTCTTGGTACAAATTTGGTGCGCCGGATGGCATTTTGGGGTCCTGATTTGGGTCCAATTTTGGGGCCAGTTTCGGGTTCCGTTTTTAGGCACCATTTTGGGGCCTCTGATTTAGTTTTTAATTGTAGGGACCCAAAACGGTGCCCAAAAACGGAACCCGAAACTGGCCCCAAAATTGGACCCAAATCAGGACCCCAAAATGCCATCCGGGGCGCCAAATTTGCACCAAGACGCAAACAAGGACGTGTAGACACGATCTGGATTCAATGGTCTTCTACCTAGCGATCTTATTCAACTGTGCGCAACAAGCCAACAACTTCAATCAAAGAAGGGTGAAACTTAGGCGGGCGAAATTGCCTAAACAAAGAACATTTTAACATTGGCAGACCAAACATGGTCAAGACTCAAGACATGTTCTCCTTCCAGAAAATATTCAAGTAAAGTTTCATGTATGAGAAAATCAACAGCATGCTCGCTACTGTATATGTATGTTTTTGGTACAGGAAAACACATTTTGGATTTACCGTGGGTCAGTCAAAACCTGGGTAGTATACACCAAAAATTGGTCTCATAAATAACTGCAAACTGTCGCGTGGTGGGCTTAATTTTGACCAGACATGGATGCAAGCAAACTGCTTCAGTAAAGAATCAGAGCTGTAGCTCAGAGTCATAATTCTCCAAAACCTCCAAAAGACTGCCCAAAGGGACTTCGTACACCATAACTGTACTCCATTGGTTGCCCCAATTCCCTACATTCCCATGGCGCCATGATCCATCTTGAGATGTGCCTGTAGTTTGCCCTTTTCATTTGGAAGTGCCTTTCCGGCGACCTGAAGCCGGTGCTGCTCAGCTGCTCAAAAGGCATCAGTTTTGGGTCGGAATCCGGTCATCAAACAGGTTTGTCAACAATACTATACAGGCTACTGTACCCGCAAATTTTAAAAAAAAAAACATGGTTTACCACCATATATGTCCCATACATGTCCCATATATTTCCCCATATATTTACCACTATATATTTTCCGTGCTTCATGGCTATACCACATTGAAAACCAAGGAACGAAGGCAGAGCCGCCCTCAGAGAACTGGATCATCACCGGACGGTTCAACTCCTCCCCGCCATCCGTCCATCATGTGTATATATGTATAATGTATCATAATATACCTATATTATACACTTATACATAATATATATATATATGTATATATATACACACATAAGTATACATACAGTGCATGGTATCATTTGTTAACAATAATTTGATAGCTAATGTCAAAAGATACTATATAAGCTATATAAACTATAGACAGTAAATGAATCCTTCATACCACTTACCCATCAAAATGACCACAAGCTTCAAGAGCTACGTAACTTGTCCTTGCCAGCTTCAAGTACCGAGTTGATGGTGCTCGAACCTCCCATGCTCGATGTGCGAATGGTTGAATGGTGCGGTTCAACTACGAGGTCAATCACTGAATGCCCATGTTCCTGTTGATGAAACCAAGACTTTGAGAACATAGAATCAGGGAGAATCAGCTTGGCTTCAGGCTTGTGCAGTTGAAGGCAGGAATGGCGTACTTGTGCTCCTGGTCTACATAAAAAAATCCTTCAAGAGATCAACGTCTCCAATTTGCAGTTCAACTGTTCCTTCGCGTGTTGCAGGAGAGACCACGCAAGATCTCCAGTCACCACACCAGCCTGTGGAGTCTGTGGAGCAAGCATTCTGATCATTCTAATGCATTCATTTTTGCACAACCGGGTTGTACCGTTGTACCCCGCCTTCATGCCAGGAATATCCCAGAACCTGGGCCATTGGGCTTGGCACATCTTGGCCAAGAAAATAGGGCATGCAAACCCACCACAGACTGCCACGTCTCGCATCCGAGCAACGACATGATCGCAATGGTCACAGAATGTCACTGATCGGGTCCACGAAGCAACAAATGATCAGCCAAAGCAGCTGCAGGATTACACTCGCATTGTCAGTACAGCATCTGCCATGGAGGAGGGCCGGACAGGCAGGGAGGAAGCTGAGGGAGAGGAGAGAGAGAGAGAGGAGAGAGCAGGAGGGGGGAGAGGGAGAGAGAGTAAATGAGTAAGAGAGAGTTAGACCAGAGGGATGAGAATAGGTAGAATGAGAGAAGAGAGAAGAGAGAAAGAGAGAGAAAGAGAGGAGAAGAGACAATGAGGGGAGAGCAGAAGAGCGAGAATCACAGAAGACGCACAAGAGACAAGAGACCAAGAGAATAGAGAGAAGAGAGGGAGAAGAGAAGAGCAGAGAAAGAAAGAAAGAGAGAAAAGAGGATAGAAGTAATATAGATATATATATAATATATATATATAGAGTATATATAGATAATATAATATATATATAGAAATACGATTCCATATTGAGATATATATAAGATAATATAATAGATATATATATTTATTTAATATAATATATAATATACTACCATATATAATATAATATATATATATATATTATATTTATATATCCAATGTAAAGTATTTTATATAAAACTAATATATATATGGTATATATATATGGTTCATATTGCGCCCGGTTCCCCCCCCCCGATGGTATGGTCCCCCAGGCCGGCTACCCCCCCGCTAGCCCCCCCAGATGGTGGTCCCCCCTCCTCGGTAGCCCAGCACCCCGTAACGCAGCATCAAGTGTGAGGGAAGATCTTTTAACGTAGCACCAAGCCCAAGCGTCTGTGCAAGTGTGCAAGTACAAGAGAAGATCTTATACAGTAACCTCAAGTGCCTGTGCAAAAACAAGAGAAGGTCTATTAATGTAGCACCAAGTGTCTGTGCAAGTGCAAGAGAAGATCTTGTAACGTAACATCAAGCGTCCAGCGTCTACGGAAGTAGGAGAGACGATCTTATAACTCTTTATAACGTTGCAACAACTGTCTGCGCGTGTACAACAGAATGTCATGTAACGTAACATCAACTGTCTGTGCGTGTGCCAGAAAGGATCCTATAACGTAGCAGCAAGGGTCTGCGCAAGTACGACGGAGGTACTTCAACGTAGCATCCAACATCTGTGCAAGCACAAAAATACATACATACATACATACCTACCAACCTACCTACCTACATACCTACCTAGATACCTAGATACCTAGATACCTAGATACCTAGATACCTAGATACCTAGATACCTACCTACCTACCTACCTACCTACATACCTACATACCTACCTAGATACCTACATACCTACATACCTACATACCTACATACCTACATACCTACATACCTACATACGTCCACACCTACATACCTACATACCTGCAGACCTGCAGGCCTACATACCTACATACCTACCTACCTCTCTACGTACCTACATACCTACATACCTACATACCTCCAGACCTACATACCTACATACCTGCAGACCTGCAGGCCTACATACCTACATACCTACCTACCTACCTACATACCTACATACCTACAAACCTACATACATACATACTTGCATACCTACATACCTGCATACCTACGTACCTACACACGTACATACAGACAGACAGACAGACAGACAGACAGACAGACAGACATACACAAACAAACAAACAAACAAACAAACATACACACATACATACATACATACATGCATACATACAGACAGCCAAACAGACATACATACATACACACATACTTACATACTTACATGCACACATTTGTACATACATACATACATACATACATACATGCATGCATGCATGCATGCATGCATGCATACATGCATACATGCATACATGCATAGATACATGCATACATACATGCATACATGCAAGCATAGATACATGCATACATACATAGATACATAGGTACATAGATACATACTTACTTACTTACATACATACATACATTACATACATTGTGACATACATACTTACATACTTACATCCTTACAAACTTACATACTTACATACTTACATTCTTGCATACTTACATACTTGCATACCTACATACATATTTACATTACATGTCATTACATTTCGTTACAGCTCATTACAATACATACATGCATACAAACATGCATGCATGCATACAATACAGTACAATACTATACAATACAATGCGAAACAATACAATACAATGCAATGCAATGCAACGCAATGCATTACATTACATTACATTTCATCACATTACATTACCATACACACATTACATTACATTACATTACATTTCATTACATTACATTACATTACATTATATCACATACATACATACATACATACATACGTACATACATAACATACATACATACATACATACATACATACATACACACACAGACAGACAGACAGACAGACAGACAGACAGACATACATTACATACATACATACATAGGTACATAATTACATACATTCATACATACATACTTACTTACATTACATTACATTACATTAAATTACATTACATTACATTACAACACATTGCATTATACATTGAATTACATTACATTACATTACATTAATACATACATACATACAAACATGCATGCATACATACATACATGCAAACATGCATACATGCATACATGCATACATACATACATGCATGCATACATGCATACATGCATACATACATACATTACATACATACATACATTACATACATTACATACATTACATACATTACGTACATTACATACATTACATTACATTACATTACATTAAACTACATTACATTACATTACATACATACATACATACATGCATACATACATACATACAGAGATACATAAGTACATACGTACATACATACATACAATACATTTCATTTCATTGCATTTCATTACATTAAATTTCATTACATTACATTTCATTACATTACATTTCATTACATTACATTGCAATAATACATACATACGTACATACATACATACATACATTACATTACATTACATTGCATTGCATTACATTACATTACATTACAACACATTGCATTACATTACATTACATTACATACATACAGCACATTTCATTTCGTCACATTTTGTTACATTGCATTTCATTACGTTACATTGCAGTACAATAATACATACATACATTACATACATACATACATACATTCGTTCATTCATTCATTCATTCATTCAATCA